CTTCTTCGTGTGGCGACGCTGCCCCGCGCCACGTGGCGCTCACCCCGCGCTCTCCAACGCACCGCTGGCTGACGGTACGCTAGGGAGCGGCTGCAGGACGAGCTGCCACGTGGTGGATGGAGATGGCCGGGCAGCAGCGGCAGGGCTCCTCTTCAGTCTTCAGCACCGACCCCTTGCGTTGTTCTGTGTCCTGCTTATATCCCCCTAGCCAGGACTAAGCCCCGCCTCTGGCCACACCCCTCCTGGAACCTTCCCGAACGTTCCAGAGGCTCCCCTAGTGGAACTGCCTCTCACCTTTCCCCTAGATGTAAACCCCACTATGGATAAGCATGGACTGTATAATTAATATATATGCCCCCCTGATATCCAGGCGATGGCGCTCTCATTACATCTTGACCACTAGTGACGAGTAGTTATTGCAAACACTGCACATTGCTGTGGCGACGGACCAACGTTTTGGCAAGACCTGGGAAATTCCCGCAGTGGTTCTAAAAAGGTGAAGGAGCCACGATCATGTTTCTGATCAGAACTATCCACTAACATTACATATAAAAGAGCAAAGTCGTGATTTATTACATGACGCAGTCAAAAAGTGGACAATTAATTTTGGTTGCAAACAAGCATTCGGAGAGTAGAAAAAGAATTGCATACTTAACATGTAAACTTGTGCAGATTAAACCCGGGAATGTGACTGTTTTCCTATATTGTGGAATGTACATTAACATTTTATTACACTACTGTAATGAGAGAGCGCCATCTAATAGGCGGCAAGGGATAACCGCACGGCCACCACCGGGTAACGGGTATCCAATCCCAAGCGGGGATATATCTGGGCCAAGTGTAATGGGCGGAGTCAAAGGGGAATGTGCGGGAACCATCGGGAAGGTTCCACGAGGGGGCGTGGCTAGAGGCGGAGCTTAGCTCCGCCGAGAAGAATATAAGCAGAGGCAGGGGAGGACCAAGTGTAATGGGCGGAGTCAAAGGGGAACGTGTGGGAACCATCGGGAAGGTTCCACGAGGGGGCGTGGCTAGAGGCGGAGCTTAGCTCCGCCGAGAAGAATATAAGCAGAGGCAGGGGAGGACTCGGGGTCGGTGTGTGAAGCCTCGAGTCCGGACCACGTCACTGTAGAAGCCTCTCCTCGCCATCGACCATGTGGCGGAACCCCAGAGAGGCTCGCCTCTCCTCCCGGCACGCCGCCAGCCAGCGGCAGGATCGGGGAGTGAGAGGCGAACCTCAACGGCGAAACAGAGAGAATGGCTCGTCCCTGGCCGTAGAGAGAAGGGAAACATACGGGGAGACCGGGAGTGAGCTGTGCAGGAATTCTATCAATAAAAGACGCCAGTCAAGATCGTCGTGGAAGTCGTTTATTACATTGGAGTCAGAAGTGGTCCTTCTAAAGACGGAAAATGTCCAAGCATCTCAAGAAGAAGAACCCACCTGTTGCATCTTCCGATGACAACGAGGCGGGGACCCAGGACCTGCCGACCCTGGGATCCGTGGTCCCGGTCACAGGAACCACGGCTAGTGAGGTCACCGCACCAGAGGCGGATGGCGCGGCAGCGGCATCTTCGCCACAACGGGCGGATGACGGTTGGAAAAGAGTGGAGGAGCAGCTGGTGTCGTTGGTCGCGTCGTCTACGGTGACGGGGCGCCCACAGGAGGTATTGCCGAGGGGTGACGTGCAGAGGCTCGGGGCTGGAGCCTTGGAGGGTCCCCCTGCGGAAACAACGGCCGCCGTCGCGGGCGCTGAGGAGGCATCCGCCATTACGCACGCTGCGGAGACCACGCGGCAGGACGCCGCCATCTTGGGTGGTGCGGCAAGGGCGCGGGCGGAGCCCGCAATTTCAGAAGAGCCGCGTGGTGCGCAACCTGCGGGGGCCGCTGCTGCAGTTGGACATAACGGGGCCGAGCGCAACCGCCGGCTTCCGCACGTTAAAGAATTTTGCGCTGCTGGCGGCGATTGGAGCGCCTTTACTTGGCGGTTAGAGGCGGCATTCCGGTCAGTACATTGGTTGGATGACAATGCTCTGGCGGTGTTCAGGTCGATTCCTCCTAAGAATAAAACGTTCCAAGGTGCGTATGCCGAGATGGCGGAAGTCTACGAACCACCTTCCGATACTCGACGAAAGTTCATGCAACGGAGGCAGGGAAGATCCGAGTCTCCTCTCACCTACCGTACGGGGAGAGCGGGAGTGAGCTGTGCAGGAATTCTATCAATAAAAGACGCCAGTCAAGATCGTCGTGGAAGTCGTTTATTCCACTACCACGAGGTCTCGTCTCAGTTGGACGACTGCAATTCGCTATTTTTTTTGACCTTCAAAACAGATCAGGAACGGCACCTTCCATTCGCGCAAGGAGCAGCTGCTCAATGATTTTTTTGAAAGTGAACCTGTTACCCCTTTGCTCCGAGATTACACTGGTTACCTGTTATGAATTTAAAGTACTGTCCTCCAATGGTACTGGTTATCACATTCGAGTTACCACACAACCAGAGACCATATTATTTGTGTAGTGGAGTAGGAAGGTGCATAGTGGAAACAGCGTGATTACATGATAACACAGATAGTAGGGGTTATGTTGGGTCAGCCTGTAGCGAAGGCAAATACAGTGCAGGTTATATTAGGGCAATTAAGCTGGGAGAGCCAAGGACGGCTGTGATTGGCTGCAGCTGTTGCCAAGGCTAGAGTGGCGCCTAAAGGTCTGGGGGAGAAACAGGTGCTTCGTTGGGACGCGGACTAATTAATTGGGGAGTAATGAGAGCGGGGATAAATTGGGGAGTCGGCAATTGGAGCGGGTTGTTGAAGTTGGAGAGCTTGGAGTGAACAGCGGGGAATTGAAGTGTGGAGAGCTTGGAGACAGAGAGTTGGAGAGACAGAGTTTGGGAGACAGAGTTGGAGACGGAGCTTGGAAACAGCGTAGCGATAGCGGAGCTGAAGAAGAGAAGCAGCCAGCAGTGGAGAGAGCGTAGCGTTAGCGGAGCTGAAGAGAAGCAGCCAGCAGTGGAGAGAGCGTAGCTGAAGAGAAGCAGCCAGCAGTGGAGAGAGCGTAGCGATAGCGGAGCTGAAGAGAGAGCGTAGCGATAGCGGAGCTGAAGAAGAGAAGCAGCCAGCAGTGGAGAGAGCGTAGCGATAGCGGAGCTGAAGAAGAGAAGCAGCCAGCAGTGGAGAGAGCGTAACGATAGCGGAGCTGAAAAGCGATGAAGCAGTTAGCAGTGGAGGGAGCGTAGTGACGGTGATAGCGGAGAGCAGAGACGAAGTAGTTAGCAGTGGAGAGAGCATAGCGACGGTGATAGCGGAGACGAAGAAGTTAGCGGCGGAGTAAGCGAAGTAATCGTGGGGGAGTGGAGAGACAAAGGTGGCGAGCGAGTCGAGTGAAGCACGGCGAGCGAGCCGTGGCGACCTGGATACTGTAAAATATTGAGGACATGCTGAGAGTTGTAAATAAAGCGGTGTTCGAGGAAAGACAAAAGTTGTCCGAGTGAAATCGAACACTACATTTGTATTGTTCAGTCAAGCAAGTTATTCAGGTGCTTTGTACGAATATCGGAACTTTGGCTAAAGGTGCAAAAGTTAAGAAAGTCTTGCACTCCCATATTTTTATGATCAAGATTTATTAAAACTATATCGTCCGGTAAACTGCATCGAGCTTGGATCAATTCTCGAAAAGACTTAATGATGAATGTGCAATATTGAGGAAATAGATTAATGCTTTTCTAAATATTGCACGTAGTTTGCATTTTTATTCGTACGGTAATTGGTTGTTTGATGTAGACATTTGGTTCACGTGTTAAACCATGCTCAAGATGTAAAAAACACATTATGATCTTACCTTATTGTTTAATTGATCTACTGGATAACCATTTTCCAAGCCCCATTACCCACGATGCTATTCTGCCAATCTGCGACTTTTCCAGGATGTTTCAGCGGAATGGCTTCCAATTATCCGTACATTATCTATGGAACAAGGAGTTGAGAAATTCTTCCATTATCCATATTGTCCCGGCATATAAGTGGAGTAAACTGCATGAAATAGGATGTGACACTAGCCCCCCCCCCTCCCATATTGCTAAGGCCTCTTAGAAGCTCTCCTTTATTCCATATTTTAGGTGTAAAGAGTGCAACATATTATAAATACACCACCAGAGGGCAGCGTTATTACGTTGCACTTAACACATGTCCAGAATATAAAAAAACTAAACAAATATTTTTTCCTAGTCAATACAATGATCTATTCTTTTTGGGGTGGATAGTCCACGTGAGCAAAACATTACGTACAATACATTGGAATAAACATGAAAAATGTATATGCTTCTTTGCAGTTCTCATTTATTCCAGTGTCGGTGTTCCCGTTTTTCATCATTTGCCATAGCAGGCATTGCACACGGAATAAAACACTTTGTTCTCGAGGCATATTTTGGTATATATTTTTCATTACCAAATTAACTATTCCCAAAGGGCCCTAAATCTGCTCTTGCTCACCTGTCCTGCATTCAACAATTGTCCAATACATATTATGTTTGCCCCCCTATTGCAACTCTTCAATTTTCATTTGTTTCGAAAACTTCCTTTTTGTAACCGTTCTTTCAATTCCACCTGAAGTTAAATTTTGCTGCCTTTATTAGGTTCTTCAGTCATTTCTCCGCTTAGCACGGTTGGCTACGTACGTGGCACAAGACGTTCTACATATCTACAGCTCGCCTTAATACTGGTAGGAACCTCCTGGTTACACCAGCCCACACGGGATTATTGTGTCCGTCCGTCGTGCATCCAAAAATGGGAGGGGTGGGGCTGGGTGGGGAGGGGCTGGTCACCCTGTGGTGCCCTTATAAAACTCAACGTTTAACCTACTCGCGCCGGCTTGTGCCCGGCCTCAGTCGGGCATATTTCCGGAATACACCACGTGGTGGTGCCGCCGTTGACCCTGGCCATTGACCGAGCAACCAAACGTTCCTACCAGCTCCCTCCGCAGGAATGTTTTACATTGGTTGACTATCAACGCAGATGGTCAATCATTTTATTATTTGGATATTCAAATTGCGAGTACATGTATATTTAACAATCGGGACTGAAACTTACCATTCGTTTTAATTTGATAAAATACAACTAAACTTTCATAAATGTATACATTTTGTTTAAAGAACAGAAAACAATGAGCCACTCCTATGCCAGAATTTCGGAGGCAAATCGTCATGGGAAAATGTGCATTTATGTTTTGATACATGGCAAGAGTACACTTACCATTGCAAGCGAGTTAATTGAAATACATCTATTACCAAAAAAATCAAATTCACGTTATGAACATATTTTTCAAAAGTCTTAACATATTTGAAAGTGACAGCACCTGCACGCATTTGAAACATGATTTGCATGTAAACAATGTGATTTCAAACAAAATATTTTTTACTGGAATCCTTTTTTCAAAAATATCCTATGAACCCTACCTGTTACAAACTTTACAAATTACCTTGATCTACTATACAGAACTCCAATAATCCTTGATCCAATCTGTGAATCCCTGTAAAATTCACATATCATTGGCAGTTCACAACTGCCATTGTAATTTACATAAGGTTGAAAATGCTTTTATGGACAAACTGAAGAAGTGGGTGGGGTTAACAGAAAACTTAAGGGAAACGCAAATTTGTTTCGTATCTGCAGACAAGCTGTGTTGGCGTAATTTATTTAGGAGAGAATTTAGCATTTTTTTAGACTTGACTTGAATAGCAATCCATATGGCAGCTTTGTGCCATTTGGGTCTTAGAAAAATTCAAACTTGTAATCTGTGAATTGCGGATTCATTTATCGGCTCGTAACGAGCTGGCCCTTCCCTCTTTATCAGCAAAGTTATTACCTATTTATTAAATCACGCGCCGTTTTCCTCCCACAATCGGCGATATCGTCCCCCTCCATATCAACGCGGGTTATTTGGGTTTTACTTTATATTCCATATATGGTTTGATAGTCGCTTAGTAAAAATCGGTTGCCTTTTTAGGTTTTTGATTACGTATCCTCTAGGCTCCAGCAAATTGACAAGGTGCAATCAGAGTTTTTCACTATATGGTACTTTCTACTTACACCTGCACATATCACTTGGCAATGTCATGGCCTCAACAATTGCATAAAGTACTGGCGAGGGAAGATGGTGATGAAGAATCCATTCATGGAGCACTTCCATTCTCCAAGCAGCTTTGCCAGTAATGCAAGAGACGGTTGTCTTTGTTTGCACAGAATTCGGAAAAGTCACGAAGCAGCTTGTCTGGGAAGCGCTCATCACCAGTTGCTCCCGAGCGCCAGCTTTTGGTCAACATGCCATTGGCTGCCCAGCAAAAGCCAAGCTTTTCTTCAGGGAGAGACGCAGGCGTGGTCGATGAGAAAGAATTTCTTCTTCGCCGTTGCTGACCCGAGGGATGCTTGCGCTTCACGTATGGAAGCTGGACAAATGCCACACCTACACAAATGCCGCAAATACAGTCACATTGACGGATGTTTGTGAGATGAGAGATCAATATTTAAACCAGAGCTGCATATACCAATGATTTATTGAATTGTACATTGGTTGCTTAATGGGGTCCTAATATTAATCCAGGTATGAATTACAAATTCAATTGTATTGCACTTCATAGCCATTTGTTTAAAATTAGCTGGTGCCGTAATGCTTTAAAAAAATGTATATTTTTATGGGACACTGGTAGAAACCACATTTCAGTATATACATAAAGAGAAAAGTTCTTTAATGGGACCTCCCTTGCCAGTATCAAAATATAATAATAGATTTTACCCTTTCTGGTGATAAAACAGGTGTTAAGATGTTTTATTGCCAGAAAGGGTAAAACCTATTCTTATAGAAAAATCTCTTTTATGCTGAAATAATGTTACCTGCTTGTTATGGGAATGGTATCAAACTAAATAATTATTCCAGCACACATTTTCAATGAATCTTTTCATTCATTTTAGATGCACTGTAATGTGAATGAAACCCATTTTTATACTCTACCTGTGACATGTATAAACTGTGACCGGCTCTCCGCTGGGAAGTTAAATGCTGCAGCTGAGTATTTGTCTTGAATGAAACCAAATCTGCAACCAGAGCATAGGTAATAGCAAAATGCATTATACGTCGAATGATTGAAAACAGTGAAATACTCTCATTGTGTAAATTACCATAAACTATTGTGCAGGTGGCTTTGAAATTGACTACTCTTCCATGCTGATCATACTTCTTTGAGGACGTGGAAATATCCACACGTTACCTTATTGCACGTGATCTGCTGATACACAAAATGTAGCATACCCCGTTTATACTGATGAGATGACAGGTGGGGGAAGAATTGAAGAAAATTGACAATTTTCCACTGCCGTGCCAGAAGATGGATTTGAATCGGCGACCTATGGATTTCAAGTCAAGTGTGCTAACCATTAGACCACTGCAGCATACCCCCCTCCCCCAGTGTGTTGGCTTACCTAGCCAGAATGGCTTCTTGGAAGAGATGCATTCTGTCCATGTATGTCTCTTGGTCAAATGCTGCAGTAAGGTGCAAGGCATTTACTTTATAAAAAATTACACAGTAAATTACAAAAACATTTGTAGTTTTATGTTTGTTACCATAAGCCATTCTCAATCCACATCCATTTGAAAGTCTCCTTGGGCAGACCCATCTGCACCTTTATTTTGGTGCAGTTATAATTCTTGAATACATGAGTGATAAAATTTCTCAATGAAATCAACATTTATAATTAAGGCTAGCTGTAGGTTATAAGTAACGAGCCTTTTGCCCGTCTAAGGACGGGTGTATTGCAGTAAATCTGAAACTTGCAAGCGAAAAGCAGACCGCGACGTGATATTCATTGCATCCATTCGTGTGCAATTTTTAAGGGCGCTGTGACAGACTTATTTCAATTTAAGGTTATAATCCCTTGTTCATCATGACGTCCTTTTTTACTTTGATGTCTCCATAGCGTTACGGAGATCACGTTGCGTGAGGGTTCTGCCTTTGTAGTGAGGGTTGTAAGTTGACGCCGAGGAGGGGGGAGGAGGCGCCTCGCCCCCCATGTGGAGTGACGTCAGCCGCTAATTATTATGAATGGAGGGGGGTTGTCCATTTGGAGGACGTCACTTGCTCATGAATATTAATGAGGGGGGCTGGTCGATGTGGAGTGACGTCACAAGTGTTTCAGACAGACATTCCTGGGTGATTTTCGTAGGTATTGTAAGGGGCACATTTTGGAAAAAGGAGATGACAATTTCAGATAAATGGATCAAAGAATTTAACATTTTCGGTGCTTAGCTGATTTTAGTTCTCCTTTAATCACTACAACAAAATGTCCAGAGGCTTGTCTGCATTAACCACAATGCAGACATGATTCCTCATAAAAGGTTTCAGTTTGGTGTTTTAACATCTTAACACCTGTTTTGTTGCCAGAAAAAAACCTATCATCAGAACCAAACATTCACACAAACTGAATGTGCTTTATAAGTGATGGCAGTAACCCATGTCACGGAAAACATATCAAACCATCTGAACAATGTGAATTGCGAAATTCAATACATTCTCAGGACAATCTTAATTCATGGGTCTTATTAACAGTAATAGGTATGGTTAATTACCTATTTGGACCTGGACAGATGAGGTTTGTTAATTTAAACAATCACAACATTTTTGTATTACTTGTATTAGTTTTTCCCATATCCATGAATTAATAAAACACCCTGCATTGAATTTACAAGACCAGTGTGTATATTCACACTTTAAAATAATCGTTACGCCTTGAAAGTCTGCGACGCAAAAAAGGTGCACGGTGACTAACCACTGAAGAGATGATCACTCCCTTCTGTGATCAGGCAGCCGACTGAAAGAGGCACAAAAAGGGAGGCACGCAGGGGGTCTCCATACAGGTAACTTGGGAGTGCAAAGGGTCCATCGAGTGCCGGAACCAGGTGAAACCCACAGGACGTTGCCTTCCGGCACCATCCTTGAACCTGTCGCCAAAACATAGGGTGAAAGAATTGAAATGCATTTTTCGATTTAAAGCTTTCGTGACTGCAATGATTCATCTTCTTTGGTTCTTTCGGTAAAGTCACGTAGAATGATAATAAAATAATAAATTGATAAATAATATTATTGTGTTATTTTATTTAATCAATTTATTATTTTATTATCATTCTACGTGACTTTACCGAAAGAACCAAAGAAAATTGAAATGCACTGCACATGCCGTTTTTCTTTTTAGCTGATATGGCTGTGTAAGACTACAGGCGATGTGGAGTCATTACCATGTCAAAAAGCACAGCCGCTGTGGCCACCATCCACTGAAGCTTCAGCTCAAAGGCACCGGTGCAGGAATATTGCCCATGGTAATAGCAGCTGCACCACTCCAAACGGTCGCTGCGATTATTGACATCAACCTCCAGTGTTACTGTCTTCTGTTCAGGGACAGTGCATGCTGTGCCACACAACAACAATACCAAACGCACATTAATAATACACACGTGAGATTATCTTCAAGATCCTGAAAACCGTCTAGACAATTTACCAGTATGAATTGCAGTTTTGTTTATGTATATGCAGCCCTGTTGTCAATCCACTGCTGGAAGAGGCCCTACACATGCCATGCAGGTCATGATGCAAATGTGACCATACTTCACCACACGAGATAATGCGGATTGTGAACAAAGGAAACATGCAGAATCACAGAATTACAGTACAACAATGGATTGTGCTGCACCTGCCATTTTCTTCTCACAAACATGCAGTTGTATATCAGATCACATATCAGATTAATGAAAAAACAGGTTTTGTTTACCGAATATTTGTTTTAGTCAAATCTGCAGGCAATACTGAGGGTAAAAAAATCCAATGTATAATTAACGTTATTGTGCTAATTCACTGAAGCAGAAATTGTATACCTGACAATTGCAGTATGCTTTTAAGGTTAATATTTTAATGTATGTATTTACAGGATAGTGTAACCTTTACAATGTGGTTTCTATCACCCTCTGAGAGTATATGTCCTGCACCATTAATCCCAAGGAATAATCTTTATGTAATAGAGGCCTAGTAAAAGCAACATTGACATACGATAGCTTGGAAATGCATGACTGCGCATGTGCGCGTCATGGAGACCACACACCCATGCACGTTGATGGATACTTTTGCATTAATGCACACTGCGCCATGTGAGTTTAAAGTCTTCAAATAGTGGCAGTTATTAAATGCTTCTTTCGTAACTTTATAATACATTGCAATGTGTTTATTATTCTTTGGGTCTTTCGGTAAAAGTCACGTAGATAGAAATAATAATAATGAAATAATAAAAATGCAAATATAAATATCACGACGTTTCGATCGCAACACAAGCAATCGTCATCAGGAGAAAAAAAGATGACGATTGCTTGTGTTGCGATCTAAACGTCGTGATATTTTTATTCTTTTCATTTTTATTATTTTTTTCATCTACGTGACTTTACCGAAAGATCCAAAGAATATGAATTCCTGCAGTCACGAAAGCTTTAAGTAAAGATTTTATGTGTTTATTGTGTACAATTAACATTTCGAATATTAGAATAGCAAAGATGAATTCTCAACTATGAATGTTTTTTTTTGCTTTTATATCAATACATCCAATGAAATCCTATTACACTGAATACCTAAGTGGGGTGGTGGTGCATTACTTTAGGCAGTGTGCTATGAACCTGGGCATGCCGAAAAGTGGTGAGTGACATTTTATATCTGAACCGGTCAGCCTTGGACTCCTCCCCCACTTCACCAAACTGACCAGTGTGGTGAATTATGGTAAAACTCATGATTGACACGGTGTGAGCAGGCCTTCATTAAGCAGTGGCTTGACAAAAGGCTATACATTAAACATTAAAATCATGCTTTACGTGTGGTTTCCATTGCTGTTATCTGGTGCACAATCCATGATCATCAATGTTAACTTTGCTATTTGGCCAATTTAATAACATTAGTTTTTATTCATATTCTTAGCTCTTTCGGTAAAGTCACGTTTTCACACCTGATGATGACCGTTTGTGTTATGGTCGAAACGTCGTGAGAATTTTTTTATTTGATATATATATTTTATTATTTTATTGTTTCCCTTCAATGTGACTTTACCGAAAGAGCTAAGACTATGAATTACTGCAGTCACGAAAGCTTAAAATCGACATTAGTTCGCTCCATAAAGATATATAATACAGGTGGACCGCATGAAGATTGTCATCCTCTTAGGCACCCCTTTGGCTACCAGATGGACTATATTGCTGTATAAAGCCGTACAAAGATCAAATATGAACGTGTGCTGGCGGTGCCTCCTATAAACGCGTAGCAATGTACCGAGCAAAGCAGCAGCCTGGCTGCGTCCACCAAAGCTACGGCTCAAGGAGCTGTGGCGACTGGCATAGGACGTGGGGCGGCTGGGCAACCAGGGCAGCAGGAAGGTGGGGATGTTTGAGTGAATCGACTCCTCTATCGGGAAGGCCACCTCGAACCAACTCTTCTGAAACAGGGCCAGGTCGTAGGCAGCGCTGGCCGTGCTTCGGTTCCCGTACGACGACACTACCCAGGGAGAAAGGGGTTGGACAATGCAGATCAACAACAAAACTGCAAATCTACACCACAGCAGGCAGAGAGAAGCCGAGGTGGTCAGATTAAACATGACAAGTTAAAATCAGATCAATGCTAACACGGTCCCTTTAATTTCTGCTTTGAAAGTGACATGCTGAGATGGCTACAGTTTAATTTAAACGTGCCAGCGCTATGGATTCAGCTCTGCTTGAGCTCCTCCTGGACTGGTTATATACAGTGAGGGAAAAAAAGTATTTGATCCCCTGCTGATTTTGTACGTTTGCCCACTGACAAAGAAATGATCAGTCTATAATTTTAATGTTAGGTTTATTTGAACAGTGAGACAGAATAACAACAAAATCCAGAAAAACGCATGTCAAAAATGCTATAAATTGATTTGCATTTTAATGAGGGAAATAAGTATTTGACCCCTCTGCAAAAACATGACTTAGTACTTGGTGGCAAAACCCTTGTTGGCAATCACAGAGGTCAAACGTTTCTTGTAGTTGGCCACCAGGTTTGCACACATCTCAGGAGGGATTTTGTACCACTCCTCTTTGCAGATCTTCTTCAAGTCATTAAGGTTTCGAGGCTGACGTTTAGAAACTCGAACCTTCAGCTCCCTCTACAGATTTTCTATGGGATTACGGTCTGGAGACTGGCTAGGCCACTCCAGGACCTTAATGTGCTTCTTCTTGAGCCACTCCTTTGTTGCCTTGGCTGTGTTTTGGGTTATTGTCATGCTGAAATACCCATCCACGACCCATTTTCAATGCCCTGGCTGAGGGAAGGAGGTTCTTACCCAAGATTTGACGGTACATGGCCCCGTCCATCGTCTCTTTGATGCGGTGAAGTTGTCCTGTCCCCTTAGCAGAAAAACACCCCCAAAGCATAATGTTTCCGCCTCCATGTTTGACGGTGGGGATGGTGTTCTTGGGGTCATAGACAGCATTCCTCCTCCTCCAAACACGGCGAGTTGAGTTGATGCCAAAGAGCTCCATTTTGGTCTCATCTGACCACAACACTTTCACCCAGTTGTCCTCTGAATCATTCAGATGTTCATTGGCAAACTTCAGACGGGCATGTATATGTGCTTTCTTGAGCAGGGGGACCTTGCGGGCGCTGCAGGATTTCAGTCCTTCACGGCGTAGTGTGTTACCAATTGTTTTCTTGGTGACTATGGTTCCAGCTGCCTTGAGATCATTGACAAGATCCTCCCGTGTAGTTCTGGGCTGATTCCTCACCGTTCTCATGATCATTGCAGCTCCACGAGGTGAGATCTTGCATGGAGCCCCAGGCCGAGGGAGATTGACAGTTATTGTGTTTCTTCCATTTGCGAATAATCGCACCAACTGTTGTCACCTTCTCACCAAGCTGCTTGGCAATGGTCTTGCAGCCCATTCCAGCCTTGTGTAGGTCTACAATCTTGTCCCTGACATCCTTGGAGAGCTCTTTGGTCTTGGCCATGGTGGAGTTTGGAATATGATTGATTGCTTCTGTGGACAGGTGTCTTTTATACAGGTAACAAGCTGAAATTAGGAGCACTCCCTTTAAGAGTGTGCTCCTAATCTCAGCTCGTTACCTGTATAAAAGGCACCTGGGAGCCAGAAATCTTTCTGACTGAGAGGGGGTCAAATACTTATTTCCCTCATTAAAATGCAAATCAATTTATAACATTTTTGACATGCGTTTTTCTGGATTTTTGTTGTTATTCTGTCTCTCACTGTTCAAATAAACCTACCATTAAAAGTATAGACTGATCATTTCTTTGTCAGTGGGCAAACGTACAAAATCAGCAGGGGATCAAATACTTTTTCCCTCACTGTAACTGCATGTGTGTTGCAACAGCAGGAGCCACACAACAAGAAGTGTGAGAACAGTCAACCCTCATCTGCTGTCACACATGGCTTAGAATGATACATGACAAGAATGAACAATTACCAAAGCTTGGTGGTGAGTTAATATTCTTCATAAGCATGCCATTATATGTATAGACTAACATGTCAGTGACTGAATGCACTGTTATGTTATCCTGGTGTGCTTTAATCAGCACATTTTAGGAAGCCACTGGGGCGATGCACTTTCAATTCTAATTTGAAAACTAACTTTTTGTGTTGGTCATTCCGCCATGCACCTCCAATTGGCACGGTTGGCTACTTCGGGTGTGAAAGAAGTTCAACATACATTACAATATAACACAATACTACGCAATTACTGCCTCCTAGTGGCCCCAGTAAGCATTTCAAATGTCTATTCAATTTGATGTACTGTACATTTGCCACAAAGCATCAAGATTACGCGGTCAAGGGAATGAGACGCACGTACCCTTATCCGTGTCGGTGTCAGTCACCACTCTGTAGAAATAGAAGCCGTAAATAAAAGCTCGCAACGTGTCTCCAGATGCATGCGAGATGAGTTGATCGTCCAACATTTTCTGAAACGAAAAAGGGCCAAAAGACACTCATTTATATTTAAAGTTGATACCCGAGATTAAAATAATGAAATCAATGCAGTGTGTATGAGACTTTATTCTAGTACAACGCTAAATATAAAAAAATAACATATATTGGACTATTTATAATTGTCATAAATTGGGGTCGAGTTTCAATTCAATAATCAATTATTTTGTCTTTTCTACTGTCTTGTAGCATTTTTATGTATTTTATACAATATATTTGTTTGCTCCATAAGCATAAAATAGGACAATATTTTCAAGCGTTTTCTTCAAATCAGTGAAGGCCTCTTCATGCCGTGTTGGTCTTGGGGGTTGTTTAACGATACTCAAGTATTTGGCTGCTATAAACGTCCACATAAGTCGCTTAGTTGAGCTATCATTTTTGGCCAGGTCACTTCTGAAAAATAGCTCAGTTGGCCTTACTTGGTAAAATAAAAAAATAGGTTAATAAGCGGAGTTTAACTTCACCACATTAGTCAGTGTCGGTTACCATACCTGTCAACTCATCAGTGCCTATCTTTACAGACCAATTCAGACCTTATTGGTCACCACGTGCCCTTATAATTCTCAATGTTCATTCTACAAAGAGCCATCACAAGGGAGAAACACAAACAAAGACTTTTTTTTGCCCGTATTGAAACGACTGTATACCGTATGGACCTGAAAACTCAATTTCCCTGTACAAGAATACGGGTAAACCGTATGGGTTGACAGGTATTGGTTATATTCTTAGCTCTTTCGGTAAAGTCACGTTGAAGGGAAACAACAAAATATATAAAAAACATTCATTATTTTATTGTTTCCCTTCAACGTGACTTTACCGAAAGAGCTAAGAATATGAATTACTGCAGTCACGAAAGCTTCAAATCAAAGGTATTGGTTAGTGAACGACCCGAGCACTGGTTCAAATATCGCTCACCACTGATGTTAGCCATGGTTGGGAATCAAACTCAGGTTGTACATGGCACAGTATGAAAAACTTCTGCACTACCAATTTGTGTACAAGTTTCATGAATAATAATCGGTTGTAATGTACAAATAATGAATATATAGTGATGATTAGATTTGAATTTTACTGATTAATTATTTCAGAAGACTATTTTTGAGTGTTTCTGAAAACTGGCCATAGCAGCAGTGTCATAACGTAGTCAGAATTGAAAAATTCCCAATACCAGCAGATCCTCTGAACAGCAGAGTTGAAGGACAATCGAAAGCACATGATAGAAATATTTGAAATCAGTTTCCTTCACGAACAATTCATATTTAGTCCTGCACACCTAATTTTTCCATGGTGTCATGGTGATAATTAGTAGCACACAATAAAAATAAAATACAAAACACAATTCAAGAACACCTCTAAAATCATTTCAGAGACTATATTTGTAGTGGTTTAGAAGTCGACCGAAGATGCTTTGCATGTATGAACTTATTTTGCACTGTACATAGCCAACCACGCTAATTGGAGGTGCACGTCATTACACACACACACACCCTATGGTATAATTGAGACAAACATGCAAAAGATTTGCACAATTACATTACTAGAGACAATTCCTATAATTTCAGGTGAACTGTTTTCACTTATAATGCAGAGTGCAAAGGAACTGGATATATAATTGTCTGGACTACAATTTAAGAATTGCCAAAGATCATAAATAAAATAGTCACTTTTATATTTACTTACTAAAGATCGACAAATCGACATACCATGTGCATGTCTTACACACACAATTAAGTTAATGTATCTTAAGCATAAGAACTGGTTTCACATGATGAATGAATGCATCAGATCATGCCTTATTTTAAGCTTACAAGAGTCTTAAGTGTCCACATTCTTGGATATTTAAAATTGAATCAAATATAAAAGCTAACAACAACTTGCACCAAAATCACTTCTGTATTGTTAAAATCGGAGGCATCTTAGTGATACATGTTTTGCTTTCTCGTACCTGCAATACATCCACCGCACACTGTCTGTTGACCATTCCCTCCACTGTGCTCATCACCCAGTGCACAGCTTCAGCGCTGATGAAGCAATTTGTTGGCAAACCCTTTTGTTCTGAAAGGAACTGCACTCCAGTACTAGACAATAAGGGAAGAAAACATTCTATTTTATGATATAGACAAATTGGTAGTCGGTGTATCAGGGTCTTCAAAATCTTTTTCATGAAACCCAATTATCACTGCAATTACATTATCTTGTACGCCACGTAGCCTTTCTTTCCCATGGCAATTTTAAGCTGCAAAATAATTGAAACTATGCTGTAAACCACATGGAAATAACCAAGTGATTTCTGCTATCATTCACAACAATGGCTCACAGGTCTCTTGGTTGTATGCTGGTTAAATAAGTGATGAATGCAATAGTTACATATGTAAAATAAACTCAAGTTAGTCAATAACTGCCCCGAAAAGACAAAATATTATGATAGATGGGCAATGGTCCTTCATAGCACAAAACAATGACGTGCTATGAAGAAGGGCCATTGCCAAAAATGTCACCTAGCATGTACGGTAATTTTCTTTTAAGGAAGTATTATTGACCAATGTGTAGATTTTTTTGTTAATTTTTGCACCAATGTAGCATCAACAAATAATTGCATATGTTCGTAGGAATATTACTTACTTCAATGTCAGAGCCCTTATTTCCACAAATAAAATGGGCAGTTGTATCAATATGCAGATGTAACATACAAGTGTCTCGATATCCTTTATGTGAAGATAAAATCGACTCACTTAGGATGTTTCATGGCGTCCAGAATATTGAGTAGGTAAGCATGGCCACCATTAACATCTGGCAGTACTGCTGGTTGAGCCAAACTGCTTTGAAAACACACGTACACAGCATTAGCAACACATCCCAGCCACGCTGAGCATTAATACAAGAAACATTAAAACCTATTTCATCAAGTGGCCTCACAAGACTGATACGTCTATCTGCACAAGTGGTTTACCATATGTGATAGTTACTCAGATACGAATACTTTTCATTTGTAAGGGCCATTTCGTCCATATATCACAATGCGCCATAGATCTGAATGTAGTGAACTGTTCAAGTGAATTAATAAGTCAAGATAGTATTGGAAATGCTTTAAAGGAGAACACATGTTTAAGTTGAAGTAAAACGATTATCTATTTGAATCAATTGTTACCTGTTGTCCCCTGTTGAACTCTGTTCTCCATGCACGTTGGAAGCAATCACACTGCCATCGGCATAGGTCACTGTCACTGCTGCCACGTCTGCCGTTATCGACTGCTGCAGAAAACATATTTACATGTGCTTTAGATATGATGAAAATGAGCCATGTTCAAAATATGGTTGCAAAACTCATACATAATGTACACTCAACTATAGAAGAGGTTGGAAATATTAAACAGAACACTGTGCTACACATTCACCTACATCAAGAAATATAGTTGCATTTTGCTCTCGTTAATGAATGCTTTATCAAACAAGGTGAGTTCATGTGATTTAACATTGAAATACAATATTGAAACAAAATTACCAGAGCTGCAGTTACACCAGTCACCCAGCTAGTGTCACTGCAGCATTGCTAGACTGAACTGTATGACCTTGGAATGAAACTGAGCCAATAAAGATCACGATATTTCACAGCAGCAATAAAACATGCAGACACATCAGCTTATAAGGTGTAAACATGCTGTTAATAAACGTCCAAATCAATTACGTAAGGAACAATGCATTACTCGGAAAACAGTTACAATTTATCATCTAGAAACATAAAATGCATAATTTTTTACATAACAGGATTACATGAACGGATAAGACATTCAACCCAACAAAGACGCACAAAACCAATGGAGAACCAATCCTTTCGTATCAGCACATTAACTTCAGTCAGCATAGCAGCAAACATTTGTAAAAGGAATAGACATGGCCAAATACTTACCAGGGGGGCGAGAGGGGGTCATGCATCCCTTTGTGAAAACCGGTGATTTCATAACATTTCTCAGATAATAGAATCCTTTACACAATACCCATGTATCTGAATACATGGACAAAACAGAAAAGGATGCATCCCCACTTGCTTGTAATGTATTTGTAACATTATTATAGGTTCACAACCGTGACTTCTAAGTAGCTTTTGACAGGCAAAAACATACTATATTCTAAATTTAAAGCTTTCGTGACTGCAGGGATTCATATTCTTGGTTCTTTCAGTAAAGTCATGTAGAAGGGAAACAATAAAATACAAATATAAAACAATAACATTCTCACGACGTTTCGACTGATGATTGCTTGTGTTGCAGTCGAAACGTCGTGAGAATTTTGTTTTATATTTTTTATTATTTTATTGTTTCCCTTCTACGTGACTTTACCGAAAGAACCAAGAATATACTATATTCTATTTTTTATTTACCAGGTAAGGCCTACTGAGCTATGGAGCTATTTTGCAGAAGCTACCCGACCAAGAATGATTGCTCAATGAAGTGGCTTATTACGTGGACATTCATAGCAGCCAAATAAAATGGACCAGGAGAAAAATCCACATGACCATGGGGGGAGAAAACATGCAAGCTCCAAATACACAGGTGTCAGGGTTGGGATTGAAACCACAACCTCCTGTATACCAAGCAAGGGAGTTAACATCTTACCACTATGGCAAATCCTTTCATGACTGGTGCATGCCGAATGTTCTCCCCTTTTTTTAGAAATAGAGGTGTGGCTTAAAACATCGACTGACCTGTGTGTGGTAAGAAGAGGAGGAGGAAGAAGAGCGAGGACTTCGCACTACCTCAGCAAAGAAACTTCCCTCCTGAGTGTCAGCCAGTGCACGGACAGAGAAAGAAAATATTGCAAGATACCAAGAGAAAGGTGCTTGGAAATTGGAAAAACATAAATACGTGATATAGTAAAAAAAAATACTAGACGTCAATAAATTTTCAAAGACGCAGTAGTAAGCGTAGTAAAACAGACACAAGAGCAAATAACATGAGGATACACAAAGGGTCAAAGCACTATAATGGGAAATGAAGTAAAAAAAATATCCATAGCATCATCAACGCATTTCACCCAAGCCAATAAAACAATCGTGCTGAGAATACTTCTGCCAGGAAGCTACGTAAGCAGATAATGAAAAGTAAACAACTCGGACAAACGATGCCGTAAGAGCATCCACCAAGTTGGTCTCTACAAAACTCAATGCGTGTGGCTGTCTGAATATAAATGAGCATCTGAAAGTGGTTCACTTAAAAGCGTATGTTCTATAGCGCTTGACACCAGGGCTGTGCCAAATATCACCGCACACCTTAAAGAGCTGGGCGATTCTCACGATTTCTAGCCGAGAATTGTGATTCCATTCAAAGAATGTATGTTGAACTTCTTTTGCACCGTACGTAGCCAACCGTGCTAATCGGAGGTGCGCGGGAAGAACAACAAACTAAAGAATGGGAAATAACCATTCGTTATGGGATCAAGGGATAGATAGAATCATGGTGAGGTTGTTGTGGGAGAGGAGGGGAAGGCTGTGGAGAACTCGATATGGTATTTAAGCAGGAAGGCAGGAACCGTAGGGACATGGCCAGTCGAGTAGAATAGCCATTGAAACATATGGCCGATACCTAAATAAAACGGTAGCAATTCTTAGCAATACTGGCTTGGCTGGAATCAGCCCTGACACCAACCAGACAGTATTGACTAAAATAGCAATTGATACTTATGGGCGATTCCTAAGCAGTACATTTCAATGGGGTTCTAATACTGGCTGGCTGGAATTGACCCCCGATACCAGTTGGCTAGTAGAGACCAGAATTATCATTAAATAGTATAGTGTTTCTAGTGCATATAATTAACCTGATTTCTTTCCGATTGGTGAGGCATTCAAGAAAGATCGAAGTACTTGTTTGTCCTGAATGGCCTAATGGCGACCAGCCCAGATAGTCCTTAACCGGAATCTATGCGGTTGAGATACATGGCTCTTTCAGGCCAGAATTTCTGTGATAATCCTTTTCAAATGAATGGAGATTTTGACCTGGAAAAAATCACTTAATTGTAATTGTAATTTCTGCAGAAATAATGGGAATTGGGATATGATTCCTGCAGGAAATGCCAAGCTCTACCGCACCTGTCTTGTGATTGGCAGCTTCCTGTACCGGAACATGGCACACTATGGTGCAATATCAACATTATTAGCTTTTGCTGCATTTTGTTTCTAATCGGTATGAAATGAGAAAAATTATATATTTTTAAGGCGAGTATTGTACCTTCCGAGAAATGAATTATAAATACTCTTTATGAACGTGAAGGGGCATATCGAAATGTGACACTTCTAAAATGGAAATGTGCCTTTTCTCAAATGGAAATGAGATGCCCTTATGTTCGCCAAGTACCTTCCTGGGGCTGTCCAGGTAAGTTGGGGTCATACTGGGAACCCCAGGCTGTGACTCTGTGGTAGGTTTAATCGCATTCACCGAGTATCGCTCCTCTTCGCTCCTGCATAGCAAACAGGCACAATGATATAGGCAAAAACCCTGTAAATAAAACCCTTCAAGAACATATTTGACTTAAGGATGTAAAAAAATATAGTTTTAAATAAAAACATAAATTTGTTTATTGACATGGTAATCTAATCATGTCTATTAAGTGCATTGAAAATGGGAAGCATGTGCAAGTTATACAAGCATTACAGTTCAATAATTTAAATGCAACACAACTCTAAGAATCCCGTGGCTATTTTAAATGCTTCTACAAAGTCTGCTCCCTGGAGCGTGTTGACCTTTGGATGGCCTCCATCTCCAGAAGAGCGGCAAGGGCAGATGTGCCTTTTCTGATGTTAACTGGGTTGCCGGGATCCTGGCCCATCATAGACGCCACACTTGGCCCACAGGAGGCACCAGACGCCGGCGGCTTCAACGCAGGAATCTTAACCATACCATCCGGTTGTCTCTGTGGCCATAAAGCAGTAATAAAATTAGCATTCACTGTTGTTAGAAGCATTCGTTTTTAATTACTACGTGGTAAAGGTAAAAATAAAATCAAAAGGAAATGAAAACAATATAAGGCATGCGAAAATATGAGTTATTATTGTAAAGCAATCATAAGGAGCACCAGTGGAAATGCTACCGTTTAAAATACTGTTTTGTTCAAGTATACTTGAGAACTTTGTAAAGGGGACAACTAATTTGTCAGTTTCAAATACAATAACCAACATTAACTTGACAATCTTCACACTTCAGGAACCATCATTACTATTACCGCTATCATCATCATCATCATCATCAATTTAACAACCAAGTCACAAGAGCTTGCGAACACTTGAGCGCAAGCATCATTTGTCAGTTTAAGGAGTACGTAGGCTTTAATAAATGTGGAATATAGTATATCACTTTCGATTAGTGACGAGTCATAAATCCTAGCTTTCACTTTAATCCAGCTTGCAAACAAAAACAGTTTTCTTCCAGTGTAGCACCTTGCAAGATCCAGACCAGTAAGCATATCTAAAAAAAGGTGGTAAAATTCCATGACTTTACATGACTAATAACCACTGTTGCACCCGATGAAACATACTACAAATGCATTTGTTTAAATGTGCAAACATTTCTTCCTGAAAAATATGTACCCTTGAAAAATTCTTAAAGGGATTGCTTAAAATGTTAGGTTCTCGTACCTTACAAAAATCAATTTCAATTTTAAGAGCTGTTAAATAATGGATTAGCCATTAAAAATACCAATTCTATCTGATTGGCATAAACGCCAAAGGTGTGGGAATTTGTATGTGTATCTTGACTTGTTTTGCAGGTATCTTGCTAAAAAGAAATGTGCAGAGCCAGCAGCTTCTTCACCAAACCGTGACGGCACAAAGGCCAATGAAGCAAAGCTTCTTTGTTGGACACTCACAAAAAATATTTTTGGAATAAAAAAAAAAGATATTTTTCTATATATAACAAGCAAAAAATATATATATGCTTGTTATTACCATGAACAGTAAAGCATTAATATGTTGCAATACATGGGGGTTGTTGTTTTAATCTGGACCTTAAAATAACTTGATATTTCTTATCAAATTACAATCTTGATTGTGTGATATAGATAACTGGGTAGAGCAATCAAACACAATAGAAAATCGCAGTGAATAAAGAGCATTCAACAAATTATCAAAACAATGACAATTAAATAAAAAACACATGTTTTACATTCATAGAATTACCTACAATATTCAAATATTAAAACTGTGCATGTAATCAACGGTTAGGCACAATTATCAGGTGTGGGATTAAAAATGTTAACATTTAATAACAAAGGAATGTAAGCGTACACATGTACGCAAGTAACTGTAAAATGCTGCAATAGTTCCAACTTGCGAAGGCACTACAACGGTGCACGGTGCTGAAGAGTTACGCGTATGATGCGGTCGGAGCGATGGCGTCTTCGCATGCGATTGAGGCTCTCCATGAAGCGGATGAAGTTATCTATGAGCTGCAGCTCCTCGTCCTCGCTTCGCTGCCACTCGTAGCTGTTGCAGGGTTCCTCTCCCTCACATATTCGCTTCGTGAGTGCCGTGGCCGCGGGGAGAAGCAGGAATCGTGTCCGCCAGAACTTGAGCGATTCAATGAGACTAAGCACACAATGGAAAGCAGCTTTTCGAATCAAAACTGGCACCGAACTCGAGAATAAAAATACAATTGTTAAAAGATGGTTGGCAAGAGCACCCCCTGATTAGCACGGTTGGCTATGTACGGTGCAAAAGAAGTTCAAAATACATGCAAGAGCAGCGGAATTTTAAGCAGAGTTCATAAGGCAACACAGTGTGCAAATATGCACGCATGGGATGCATATGCAGGCATAAGAAGTTGTTATTACCTAAAGTCCTCAGATCCTGCAGAGCAAATGTACTGATCAAGGTAGTTCCACTTGTACTCCTCCAGACGCTCGTGGCAGAATTCTACCCAGCAGGAAAGAAACTCGCCATCCGAGTGTGGGGTACAGAGGCTGTACGTGTATGGAAACTGGGCTGACTCATATGGGTGCCTGCACACACAAGAACGCAGACAACTCATGGATTCAAGCTGTGAGAAGATGACAGCGATCTATGCAGTCTTCAATATTTTAAATCATAAAAAACACAGTTTAAAGGTTCATTATATCCAGTGAAAAATATAAATAACATGGGATGGTCATCAAACCGTAATATTTTTTACATGATTTTAAAAGTGTTTAAAATAGATCTGGCACTGACTTCGGTAAGTATCGTGTGACGCTGATCTTCTTGTCCTTCAGAGAGACCATGTGCAGGTTGCGACCCATGCTTAGCCAGTGGTGGGTCTCCTCCTCCACCAGTGCCCGGGAGAAAATCCCTTGAAATCCATTTTGAAAACAAATTCGAAAAACCATCAGTAAGCTCGCGCAGTGTTAAAGAAATACGCATCAGCGCAACGAAATCCACTGCACAACCACTCTGCTGCTTCAGTGAATTAAAAAAAAAAACACATACGGCAGTGCACTCAAGCACAGGTGTAAACGCAGATGTAAAAGCACGTATAAAAGGTGATATTTTATCCTACAAAACGATTAAAGTGAATGTGAACAGAGGGGGATTTTTAAACATGAAAAACAATGGCCGATCAATAGTATAACCCAAGTAAATTCTCCAGACCCACATATGACCCTCACAATGCGTTTATACTATTAAACTAAAAGTATCTGGTTTTGCAGATTGCAGCTCAATAAATGTGCACTATTTATTTTACTTCAAATCCAATATCAATCTAATTACAAAAGAGTTTTCAATAAATGAAGTATTCCTGCGAATGTCTACTGTCCACATCAATAACCACTTAGAGGTTAGTCGTGACCTTTATTGGCCGATAGACATTCCTGCTTATTTCAGCTCTCCCTAAATTGAAAACTTGACTTTCGTTTGTAGACTCAACATTCACATATTTTTCTAATAAATCTCACTCAATTTCATCAGTTAATTTGGTATGAAGTGCAGAAACTCCTTGTATATGAATACTCTGTTGAAACAATTAAATAAACAGATTGCGCCCAGTTTATTTTGTTATTCCTCTCTTGTAACTTCAGCACTAATTTTATTTGTCATGAATTTTTTTCAGCTCCCGGGTTACAAGCATGTCTCCTGCTGCAATTGATGCTAATTCAAACTTTTGTTTATAATGCAAGTGCTGTACGCATAATCACATTTGCTAATGAGATGGTGAATATGAGTTAGACGTATTAACAATGCATTTTAAAAACGGTGAAAAAACCCAAACCTGGAGTAATCACGCTTCCTGGGGGGGTGGGAAATCTCTGAGTGTATCAGGTTCGGGCTAACCATCTGTCCAAGTGCACATGTGCTGATAATTTAACTGTGACCCTTCATGCTAATGGAGCAACATGTCGTGCCAGGGAGATTTCGATGATGGACAGCCTTTTCAAGAGGTTTTTAATAACTGATAAGAGATAGCCATAAACCCATGGGCAAATCCAATCGAAATCGGTAAGCCACCAATTTCCAGCAACTTTTTTACAAACACAAATGCTTGGCTGAACATACATATATATGAAAACGAAGTATATTAAAACGAATTTCAACAGAACAATTGTTGCATTTAAATTGCATGTTTGTTCTATTGTTGGAACTTTAATGTTAAAATTTTGTAAAAATATTCATCATCATCATTAGCTATGGACTCATTGCTGGATAACAGCCTCATCACTTCATCGTCATTCCCTCATTATAAGGCAATACCACATTTAATCTCACTACTGCATATGAGTTGATATCAATGCTCCATCACTGTGGTGATCGCCCTCTCGGGTGTGTTCTTTCCATTGGTTGCCATTCCAAAACCATGCTCATCCATCAGTCATTATCCCTTCTAGCGATATATCCTGCCAAAGTCCACTTTCCTTAACAGTCAATCACATGATTACTCTCCGATCTGTGTTCCTCTGCCTCTGTGTATTTCCAAGCATGTAGTTATTCTTGGTTCTTTCTGTACTCTTCAGCTTTCATTCCATTTTCTATATCAGTGTGTTTCTGAAGCATGTCTAAAAGGGAATACACACTTCTTGAAAATATTCTTCTTCAGGCAAACTGCGTTTCGTTATTAAATTCAGATTTTAAAAGGCACTCTATCCTGCTCTCGTTTATCTCTATTTCACAATTTCATCCGTATGCACCTTCAATAATTGCCCGAAGTACACATGCTCCGACATTATCCACTTGAGTTAATCCAACAATGATATTGTTATCAACGCTGTTGAAACTTAACATTTATTTTGCTCCTTCATCCAGAACTCGACTGTAAAGCCTTCTATGTTAACTTCTCCAATCATTTCCATTAGGCCATTTTCATTCGTTATTATAACCAAGTTGTCAACGAGTCTGAGATGGTTAATACTTCCTTTATGTATGCAATCTTTAAAACATATTCTATGAATCTCCTTACCTGAATCTTAACCTGATTTGTATTTTGTTGCTTTCTTCATGCAATCTCATCTTTATTCATGCTTTGGATAATTTAGATTTTTGCAAGAGTTTGGATGACTGCTTCAGTTGCCATTGAATTAATTGCTTGTATATACCATTGGAACCTCCTTTGCCAGTAGCAAAATATGATAATTGTTTTTTTACCCTTTTATCTGGCAACAAAACTTACGCCTTTTTTTACAAGGAGTCATGTTTGCATTGACCACAATACCTGTGGATGGAATGCAAACAAAAAACTCTGATAATGTTGTGCGTCTTTTGGCGTCATCTGGTCCAACACCATGTGAGACTAGGCTCTAAGGAAAGCTGTCTCGGGTGTGGACCAATCAATTTCAAGGACAGTGCATACATTATCAGAGTTATGTTTTTTGTTTGCATTCTGACCACAGGTATTATGTTCAATGCAAACATGACTCCTTCTAAAAAAGGTGTCAGTTTTGTTGCTTTTATATAGTCTATAATATCCAGACAATGATATCTAAAAATAATTTGTATTTTCTATGCAAGGGTAATTATGTTAAAATTTAAACATTAGTTTAAAAAAAAAAACTTCTCTTACATGTAATCACTTTTCCAGAGATGTACCCAAAACTTTCACTACTATACATCCACTTGAAATTTGAGCCATGCTTGTCTAGAATAGTGATGCTCCTCCACCCACCTCTCCAGATAAGCCCTTTACAAGTGTACGTATGCTCCCACCTTTGGTGAAACGTGGACTGCTGCTCAATGGTAGACTTGGGGTAGACACATTGGTCTTGCTGGTGCGGGGCTGAACAATCAGCTGGTAGCCCTGCATTAACCTCTGAGAGATAAACTCCTCGTACACTTGCTGCGTTGTCAGCCTCTTGACACATTCCTCGTCGCTTCTGCAACGGTGCCAGATGACAAAATACACACCATGCCAACAGCAATCTTGCAAATCAAAGAAGTTTTTTAGGTGCAACGTAAAATAGGTCAAGATTGAACATTATTTTCTAAATTATGTATGTCACTTGAATACCATATCTGTAAATTCTGTACAAGTGGAACACATTGTTTAAATCAGTTAGATGTGTTTTCAGCAAATTAGTTGTTTGCAGAATATAGGAACAGTACATTTTACAAGGGCAAAATGGTGGAGGGGAAGAGCTCGATTTAGAATAAAACAAATAACCAGATGAAATTAAGCACATTCATTATTCCAAAATGTCTCACATTATTACATTTCAATTACTTAGCTTGGTATTAAATCACCTCAATACCACCTAAAGGATATTTTGTAATAAACAAATAAAACAATAACTTTCTCTCAGATATCATCAGAATGTAAAGGTTTTGGTGTGAAATAACAGTTTCTGGGCCAATAACTTTGAGATTTACTGCACAATAAAATTAGCTGCATATATGATGATGAATTCCAATAAATGTGTGTATACACACTGCATATGACATTCCCCAACTCAAGCACTATTCATTACGATTCAAATATCAGCCTATTAAAAACCAACTGTAACACCCATTTCTCTTTAAACATATATTGTAATGTAGGAATGTCAACAGCAATGATCACTCTTCTCAACAAGATACATTGTGCTGCCGATGACAATCACCTGTCTGCATCAAACGTATCCGGAAGCAAATCATAGCATCCCTCCGAGTAATCGTTCTGCAAGGACTGCTTGTCCGGAAAGTAGTCCGTAGTGAGAGGAAGACAGGCAGGGGTGGTGAGAGACTTCCAATCCACCCCAACTGTGCAACAGAAACTGGGCACTACAGGAGGAGACGGGCTGTCAGCTTTGTGTGGGAAAACACCCCCCGGAGCACACAATCACAAATCAAATGTCCACGCACGCACGCAGAGACACACAGCCCACGAACATGAAAGACATTCACAGTATGCGATAAGAGGAGACACAGGGGCAACAAAAAGAGAAAGATTGATTAAAAAAGCATTTAAATCAGTTTAATTATCACAAATTCATGCAGGCAATGTGCAATGCTTAGACTAAGTGCGTTTTACATGCATGCTTTAACTTTTGTGATGATCAATATAAGCATTGGATTGGTTAAAATAATCGAAGTTTCATAATGTAAGATAACATACATTGCATACAAGAACACTCACGGCATTCAATCATTTAACATATATAATTACCCAATAACAAAGTAATGCAGTCACAACTGCAAACATCACAAAAATCAGAAATTACAAGGCATTCGAATATATATGCATGCAATTAAGGTGCTTATGTGAACACATGAATGGCTTCACAGGGCGTGCCAGTTTTAAATGTTTTTCCAGTTAATAAATTGCAAACGAAAGTTGCAGTTATCCTTTGCCACCTTAAAACTATGTTTTTAATATAGCACTACATAGATGGTGTAACAAAAAATTAAATATATACTAGCATTTCGGTTTAAAGTTGCAGTCAGCAATGGTATGAATACATAAGTATTCGTTTTTGAAAATTATAACTAAATAAACAGTGATAATGCTAATTCAACGTCCATATCAGTGGTCCTCATTAAAAGTAAGTAGATTTCTAAAAGCTTTTGAGACTCATTAGGGCAGATAATTTGCATGAAATAATGCCAGAGAATATATGAGATATTACACATTTAAATACATTTCATGCAAAATTCATTCCTCTAAATAGCTGGGGCTTTATCGACTGTTTTGAAAGAACAGACATGTGATCTGTACGCTAGAAAAATGAATAACGCTTTGACAAGCACATTGGAAATCACAAGTTACGCAATTACATTAATTAATACATCAGCATGTTTGGCTTTCGTCACTCACTGGGCTCTGGGAGGGGGGGTAGATTTTTCTCGACTGAAACGGCTGCCTTTTTCGAGACAGCATTGCAAGAAAAACCTGCATCACATGAAACCAATTAAATTTGCAAAAAGATGCAGCGCTCAATGGTACAATCTCATTACCGTCTAGGTAATGCTTTTGTAAAGACATGGCAATATTGCAAATTGCACACGTTTAAATAGAGTCGGGGAGGAAGCATATACTAAAATATAACTACACCTTGTAGCGGTCTAACATGAGGCTTAGGTTTAAGCTACGGTATCACAATCAATGAATTCACCCTCTTCCTCCGACAGACATTTCACACACAGAGTAGAGTCTACCTGCAAGGGGGGACAAAGTTTTTAACAGAGGGCAAAGAAACTAACGACAATGAGAGCATCAGTGAATGTGAGGTTATATAAATTAATATCTTGCACTTTCTATAGCGTTGCCGTTTTAATTATAATTTGCACATTAGCACAATTTATTACTCTGGTATGTTTATAAGCTGCAAAGTGTTTTCTAATTAACAATTCAAAAGCAATTTTATTCACAAAAAGACAAGAGTATAAATACAAGAGTAGATAGTTTGTTTTGTTTATAGCACAGCTATTATGGTAACTGTACCAACAATATAAATCTGCATCCCTTGGGCCCTTAAGAAAATTACCATTGAAACCTCAACTATTAATTAGTTAACTATAAATAAAAAAATCCTGACGGCAATGTCATCAATCAACAACAGGGGAATATAAATGTATAATTATTACCGTGCTTGGGGAGATAAGGGGAGAGTTCTTCAAGGCTGCATAGGTTTGTGCCACTGATGGACGGTGGGAATGGAATGTCCTCCAAGATATTCCGTGAATTTTTGCGCTTCCTTATAAAAGACAAAGACAACCTTCCTCGTTAATTATTCTACAGACTGTTGGGGCAAGTGCATGTTCAAGAGCATCTACTACTGCCAGCAGGGATGTATGTTAAACTTCTTTTGCAACGTATGTAGCCAACTGCGCTAATCGGAGGTATCCGAGGCAGGAGGATGGCCAGCACCATGCCCGGCTGTCTTTTGTTTGTCTCTCCAGTGGTGATGTTTACAGAACGCAGCAGGTACTCATTTAAAGCTGAGTAGACCTGGTAGAGGCCCATGAGCATTCGTCATCGATGTTGTCCATGAGCGAGAATCGAACCCTGGTCGCTGAGTTTGTAGTTACCCCTCTCCCCGCCACACACACACACACACATTGGAACCATGAATAGCCTGGACAGCACTGCAGCATATCTAAAGTTGCACATATAATAGAATTTCGATTAGAGTACAAAATAACATAACCTGATAAGAAGAATGTATCTGTAGTATAACATATCGCATGACACTTAAAAAAGTGTATAAATACAGCTCTTAAATATTCTAGAAACCGCATGATTATTTGGCTCATTTCTACTCGCTTGAGGATGAAAGTGACATGATTAAAGCTATTTCGTATAAACACATTTTAAAACCTATCCAAAGTCTCATTGCTCCAGGCTAAAACATTTCTCACATGTTTAAAGGTACTGCTCATACTCATATAAACAACTTCAGATGTTAACAAGGCTGCTGAGGAGCCCAGCCTCTTAAGTCTTTCCTGTTGCTCTGACCCTATTTTTATTCCAAGTTTCAGACACTGCCAATGATTTCCTAATAATCCTGAATAAATTAATGCAACAGGCCATACATAAAAACAGTCCTAAACAGTAGTGTAGGGATTCATCACTGTTGTGATATTACCGTCTGAGATATCCCACCCCCTGCGGTGTGACTAGGAATTTTCTCATTATTGAGACGAGAGGCAAAATTCAATGAGTAAGTTAACATCTGGCAGTGATGCTATCTCAGGCTGCCCCTCCCACTGCTTCTATAATACTCATTGAGCAAGCCACATTAGTTATTTACTCAATATGCTAAAGCTGCCTTTTTCAGCCTCGAAGACATGAACGTATCAAATCAAAATTTGATTAAAAAAAGCTACAAAACGCATGAACTTACCACAATAAGTGCAGTATTTATTTCAGACCAAGATTACTGGTTGTGGACCTTACTGAGGTACAGATGTACAGCCGAATCTGGGGCTCCCCACACCATACGGCTCAGAGGCTATTGGACCATACTTCACCACACTGGTCAGTATGGGTTGGTGGAGGTACGTATATATGTATAGACATGCAAACAAATATAGTCGTATTCCCTGCAGGATTAACTAACTAATAAAGGATTTTTTCATGAATTTCAATGGAAGAATTTTTTTTGGTAGAAGTCTTTACTGGTAAGACAACATTTTTTAAGACAACGTTTTATATTGAACATCATTAAAAGAATAAGAAAAAAAATCTATATTTGTTTCTTTTGTGTTACCCACCGATCAGGTGTACTCTCACTCTCGGTAAACTCTTCTGAATCCACAAGCTGGAGGGCCAGCTCTTCCGGGTTGGGTCGCATCTGATGGTGAATCTGAAAAGCTTCTCCTGTGGGACCTGAATCCAATCGACAAGACGGGGGAAAAAGCTACACGTTTTCACGCGAACAATTTTTTTTTGTTCCCCCTCTTCAAAAGCTGTTTCGCCATTCTCCAAATTGCACTATCAAAGTGCTAGCGTGCTTTCAGGCTCGCGTAACGAGACGAAGGAAACATTACCAACGGGGAACGTGTGCATCCATCGGCGACGGTTGGAGGTGAGCTTCATGGGCATGCGCGACGGAGCAAAGGGGTTGATGAGCGCGCGCTGCGGGGGACAGCTGCCATGCTTGGTGCGCAGCAGTGATTCGGCACTGCCCACCTGGAAGCGGCCTGGGGCACTCGAGTCCCCCTCGTCGCGGTAGTTGTTCCTCTCGGCCAAGTCTGATGCCGTGCGACATGCGGGCGCGTGACACAAAAAAAAATGTTGGTAAAAGAGGGGACGGGGGGGGGCAGCCCTGCAATTTTTTTTGCTCGCACCAATGCTGGCGGAAGAGCCAGCAGTGTTGTTGTAATGTTCTTACCCGTCCCGACTAGACGTCTGTGAAAAAGAGCTTTATAGCTCATCAGATTCCTCCAGTATAAATAAAGATTTTGATTCACTACTAAGGGGGTATTTCTAGGCTAGAGAGCCCTGATAGAAGATATCTGTCCTACTCTTCCATGCTGAAAGACGTGAGAAGACCAACACTTTATGCTACTACATTTGAACTGCATTTCAACTAACAATTGATGTAGCCAATACTGCTCGCTGGACAGAGGTAAGTGCAGATTGAAGAGACATGCTCATTGTTTGAACTGCAGTGCCCAGAGATCAAACCGTTGACCTTTAAACTGCACGGCCAGTGTGCTACTCTTTATACCATGGCAGTAGCCCTCATCATACTCGTACAAGACGAGGTGAAGATTCACTGACTCCACTGTGCTTGCTTCATCTCAACAAGGAGTTACAGCTCAGTGCTTCATTAACGGATTTTTTTCCTCTTCAAATAAATGTTATATCCATCATAATGGTTTATACTGTATGAACATGCAAATTACATAATAGAAGAGTCCATTAAAATGTGTTCTTTTTTAGCTGAGGATAATTTAGCAATTAATACCAAAGAATAAAAAAAATAATGCTGAAAATGTCTGTCTTCAAGTTTTATATGATCAAAATAAAAATCGAACAACATTGCCTATTATAAAACTTTGAATCAATGCCTGCACATTGTCACAAAAGTAACGAATGTGCATACAAAACACACCAATACCAATTGGTGCATTTTGTATGTGCATAAAATAATTATTTTAAAATGTATTTTTATGCTTGGTTTGTTCTGCTTCTCCCGCACCTCCAATTAGCACAGTTGGCTACGCACGGTGCGAAAGAAGTTCAACATACGTACAATTGTAAAACACGACAATTCGTAGTGCCTGACGAGATCTCCAATTCATGGAACAGCATGAATATCCCTGTCATGCATTGGGCACGTAGGTAAACCTCGTGTGGTGGTGTAGCCGAGGGAGCTGCTGATTTCACACTGGCGTTGACAAGCACGCGGTATGAGGCACGCGCCCGTAGTTCTGCCTAACATGCTGTCGTCCGAAGCCTGGCTGTTGGCCTCCTCCGAGCACTGACTTCTCCCCGAAAGGACAGGGCTTGGTGGCACCTCGCTGAAGCTCGTGGTGACTCGAGCACGCACGTCGTGCGACGAAGGTCTGTAAATGGGAAACAACACATCATGCTTCGCACAATCAATCATGATCGGCCAAATGACCAGAATACCATTTCTTAAAATGTAGTTCACTTTTTCACATCTATTTCGTGGAATGTGTGGATTAAGAGTCTTCTTTCATTTTAGTGAATAGCATTACATTTATAATAGATGTTTTTAATTTTACTTTGTTAAACCCTACGTGACCACTTTCATGCTAATAGTTGCTCTTCATTAGCCAAACGCAAGCATCACCATCAGTATTATCATGCATATTCATGCTGAATATACTTTACGATCATCATTATCATCATCCAAAACTGGCTTTTTGTTCCAACGATGATTTTGCACACCGGCTGTGAAGACTCCGGTTGCAACGAGTGCTGCCTGGTATCTTGAACACCTGGGCATCATAAGCTTCATAGTCCACCTGTATTGGTAGGCTAGTCTCAGACTCCTTTGCAGCAGACATCCCTGTTTAGCAAGAGAGGGGATAAGTATGTATTAGCAACTGCAATCGAAACTAGACATTAAAAGGTGAACAATGTTGCAGTGAAATTGTGAAGAACTGTCTCTAAATTACAACTTTATAAATACTCAACACCAGAGCAATGCAACCATTACTTGTAATCTAAAACATACTATTTAATAAATGTTATTTTATACTTTTTTTGACAGAATTTGAAATGTATTTTCCCTTTATTCATGTCGAATTTGGTACCAATCCACTGGGAGGAAAGGGCGTGGTTCCATTCCCAACTGACCCTGGCAACGCAATCATTGGCTCGGGGAGGGGCAAAGGCATTTTGCCAATGGCATCAAGCCTAGCCCAAGGACCAAATTGACCAATCAGGCCTTGGTCACACCCATGCGTGTCAATTGCTATACACTCAGCAGAAATGCTGTCAAAAGCGGATTTGTCCCTTGAAGGCTGAGACAGCCTTGCGAAGTGTGGGGATGCCTGGCAACTTGTAGAGTGATCAGAAGGACTACAGGAGTGCAAAGACAAGCGTCTGTATATAATGTGCATGTCAAAGTCAAGAGCACAACACAGTTGGTGTCACCACATCTTGCCACCACTTCTGTTCTTTTACAAATCAAGGAACTACTGCAGTTACCATGTGTCCTTCAAAGAATATCAAGGTTGCAAAGTATCAACTTTAGTCGCTGGTCTTTGGGAGTCACACGATTTAACTATCTCAGCAACATGCCTTTCTTCATTTTGTTCAAGTTTTACACCAATTACAACTCCCTATCTCAAAGGGAAATCACTGTTAACCTCCAGCAGTATTTATATTTTCGATCCTGGATAATGAAAACAATGCCAATAATAATGATAAGACACATGTATATGCACACTCTTATCTTACACGAAAATTCCCTGTTTGATGTTTGTATATAGCATATGAACTTTTATTATAAATGGCACGTGGTCTTAATGAGTAACTGATGTGGTTGTGGTCATCAGCACTGGGTAAAGACAGCTGGGCATGTTTCGAAACAGACCACCCCCAAACCATAACCCTTCAACGTCAATGCAATAGGTACTTGGCTTTGTGGGAAGCCAACAATGACCATATGGGGGAAAAGGTATGAATGAGACAATGGAATTGGGCCACTAACAGAAATATGCATTCTAATTGCTCTTTTAAGCAAGAAGATTTGAAGTTCTATGAAAATCTGTACAAGTAGCAGTAGCTCCAAAAATATAATTAGCATTTTCTGGGAATTGCTGATCTCCACTACATTCGAGTGTGATCTCAGCTATATGCCCAGATGACAACAAGAAGCTTATACATTTGCTGTAAACATTCCTAGATAAGTAGTATTTAATCTCGCCTATGTCAGTCACATCTGTAGTGTGCTTTACGTACCATTGTCGCGGATATGCTTACTGTGTATTGCTTCCTAAGACAAGAACAAAGCAAGATGAAAACATTATGCATGCGAAGGTGTAATTTGTGCAAACGTTGCTGGCAAAAGTGACTTGGTGTATATGTAGTAAACAACCACAAGTATCGAATTTCACTATGTATCACATTTACATAGATTACACTGTCTGTATGCATAGTACAGTAACAAATGGCAGAACATGTCCCACAAATAAACTGGTATCTGTAAATTGTCATTAACACAGGTAGACTAGAACCGTTTGCAGGTTCAGCGATTCAGAATAATCATGCGGATAAATCTTCAAATTATACATTGTCACATTTTCATATAATTCTAAAAGCCTCAGGAATGAAATGGATTTATTAAAGATCAAATATGGAGCTCATAACCTTCTTGGGAGCCAGTTTGATGCGGGGAGTGAAGGAGGCGCAGTAGGAAAGGTTTTTCGAAGTGTAAAAACTGCAAGGGAAAAGCACATTCATAAACCTACAATACTGTAGCTTTAGTGCTAAAACTACAGTATTGATTTAATATTGTAAAATTAACACAGTACGAAGCAAACGGTGTTACGTTTGTATATTTCAATTCCGTTCAATGTCTGTCAGCGGGTTTTGCTGATCAGGTTTAATACAGACAAGGTCTCTGTGTAGCCAGAGGACAACCCACACACTGGAGCTGTGGCACTCTACAATGTCGTTTATTGTTGACGACTGCCCATTAAGCTCAGGGGCGGTTTACTAGAGCTACACATGGCCACAGAGAATGCTACCGCGTGGCCCGTTGATTATGCACACGCTGAATGATTTGCGTTCATGGTATAGTATGTAAAAATAACCAAAAAATTATAATCACGACTTTGTTTTGGTATATTGTAACTCAAACAAAGGTGTACTAACATAGTATAGTGAACTAGGTATACTCTTTACGACATACATGTACACTATGTGTACCCAACCTGTGATTGATCCAGTGAGGAATGTTGTAGTCATCACCAACGCTGCCATCTTTGCTGCTTCTATTGTGCAGCTAAAACAAGGAAAATATGATTAGTATAACAAGCTTTATACAAAACACATTAGTCTATATAGTTCCAAATAATCCAAGTATAATAAATAATGTAATTACAATACGTATATCGTTAAGCACAAACAAACCAAGTTCTAAAATTATCACCTTTCTCTCCGCCTGATGAAGACCACTTGTGTTGCGATCGAAACGTCGTGGGGTTTTTGCTTTTATTTTTGATGTTTTGTTTTCTATTTACATGACTTTTCCAAAAGAACCAAGAACATGAATTCCTGCAGTCACGAAAGTTTTAAGTCTAAATTTACCTTGCAAAAGGTTATGGTCATAACACTTTAGCCAAAGTGAATACTCAGCTCCTAAGAATCAAAATGTCACAGAATATCTAAAGGTGTGATTGTGTTGATTGACCTGACAGGATTATTGCATAACAATCATGCTTTTGTTCCTATGTGCGAAAGTTTAAGTGCTGCAATCAGTGATTTTTCAGCAGATACAAATTTTAAATGGATACCACACCACCGATTTACTTTTGTATTTTGAGCTACGGTTTGTGCACACAAATCAGACCCATTGATTTAAATGATCTGCATGCTGCTTTTACTGTGCAAACTAAAAAACAATGCAGACATCGTATTATCCTTCACCAGAAATTGTAAACAGTTTACAAAGTATTACACTCCTTTTTTAGTATACAAAATAAATGCTACATACCTTAAATAGAGGCACAGCATGGAGTGGCTGTTCTCCCATGCATACCAGATCCACCCCGATTCCTAAATCCACCAGAAAACTGTATGAGTTAAGTGCTTATTAGTATGACTGTTAAATGGGTCAAGAGGTGGCGAGACTTTACCGAATAGAACCAAAGAGTGTGTAGGTGGCGAGGTGGCTCAGAGGTCACAGCGCTGTGCTGATACCGCGAGAAGCTGGGTTATAATCCAGCCCATTCACCAATCAGAAATGGGCTGGGACAATTCTGATTCCGACTTCGCAAAAACTCAAATTAGGCAAAATTCCAGATCTGATAATGAAATGATCAGTTTGAATGACATGCTAAGTGCATTACTCTCATATACAGAGCAGGTGGGAATGTGCTGTCCTCTACATTGTAGACCAGAGGTCACTTGAAGGAATCTCAAGCGGAAGCTCTGATATCCACTTCAGCAGGCTGATATCTAATATGAAAAAGGTTGCGCTTGCACTGCGAGATTCAGATGAATACTTTGTCTCATGCCATGATACTGTTTGTGTAATCGCTATAAAATTGTGGGAAATTTTGTTGCAAGAACTATTTCCATGCAATTATATACACGTTTATTCATGTGGAATCACTTACTTGCTGTGTAATTTAATCTCTTCTGGGTTTGCAGAGAATGCCGGCGTTACACCGCTCCTGGCTGCTACTTTCTATTTCTCGATTACTTTTCTGATACTCACTTTTATTTAAACTTTATTTTTAAATAAATTAATCGTACACGTCATTCCTTGTTTAATTAGTGTATCTACTCTCTTATCTTACTGCTTTTTTTAATGCAAAACAGCTCTTTTCTTTTTAGCTTTGTTCATCCCTGGCTCTTATTTTTTCAACAGGTTCTTTCTTCATTATCTTTGTCATTTTCTTGCATGCCACCCTGAGACATTACGAAAGGTGCCAAGTAGGTACAAATAAAAAAAAATCTTAACGTTTTATCACATCAAATAACCACATATTAACCTATTTAGTTTTCTTCAATACAGCATTGGTTTGCAATAAGCAACATTAAGCATTGTTTAACATTTTTGCTGAAGTGGTTAAATATGGTTGGCACGAAAAGAGTCTTGGAAAACAGTGGCTTGGTTCCATTGATTGGGCTGGATTTATTAACTTTATAAAATGTACTCGTACAGATGAACAAAACAATGTTTAATTGCTCAACCACTTACTTTTAATTAAATGTTCTATTAAATACGGTTTAACAGTTTTAGAGAACATAAAACATGCATATGTTATGAAGGAAAACATTGTATCAATAACATTATAACATACAACGCAATGCTTTCATTGCAGAAAGCAAACTATAATTGACACTAAAAATGCAGTGTGCAACCACTTAGGGGTAACATATATTTGACCAAATCAAATATTTCAGACGAATAAGGATATATATTTTTTCAGAAATGGTTGGTTTGGTAGAGCAGGTAGCCAAATATGGAATACTTGGGTGTAACCAGTGCACAAGGGTATAATGGGCTAGGATATAGGTTCACAATGCTGGGTGTGCAGTGTCAGCAGAGAATAAGAGGCCTGAGTATCGGCAGCGGGTGGAGTATGGCTCACACAGGCAGTTAATAATAGGAGTGCAGAGGAGGGCGGAAGGAGCAGTGACTGCATGGATTGTGCACATGTTTGTGTACACGTTAGCCCCAAGAGTATAACACACTATAGAGGGGATCTTTGTTGATGTATACATGTTTTTTGCATGTATAGAGTATAAGATGTATCTGTGCTTTGTGTGTATGTGCGCACATGTTTATATATGCACATTCTAGATTTGAAGCTTTCATGACTGCAAGGATCCATACTCTTCGGTTCTATTCGGTAAAGTCACGTAGGTAAAAAAACTAAAATAAAATAAAAAACAACGAAAATCACGATGAAGGCCGCTTGTGTTGTGGCCGAAACGTCGTGATTTTTTTTTTTTTTTACCTACGTGACTTTACCGAATAGAACCAAAGAGTATATATGTACATGTTTGTGGGTGTGTATATATGTATGTGGAGCGGTGAGCGCGCTGAGCTACGAACTCGGGATTTCCCAGGTTCGATTCCGGCTCATGGCCAACACCAGTGACGATTATCTGAACTGGTCCTGGGCCTCCTCTGCTAAGTCAACTCAACCTTAAACGAAGAAATGGTGCGGTGTGTCAAGATCGTCACTCAGGAGACAAGGGCGTGGTGCTGGCCACCCACCCATGCCTGTCAACCCCTCATCATTGCCCACCTTATTACAGACCAATTCAAACCTTATTGGTCACCCTGTGCCCTTATAAACATTAACGTTCATCTTTCAAAGTCCCATCACAAGGGAAAAATACAAAAAGACACATTTTTTTGCCCGTATTGCAAACGGCTGTATGCCATATGGACCTGAAAACTCAATTTCCCTGTACAAGAATACGGGTAAACTGTATGGGTTGACAGGGTATGCTCACCTCCTCCTCGTGTACCGTTCCATAGGCGCTCGCTAACCGCTAAACGGATCTTTGTCTTTGTATGGTGCAAGTGTATTTATGTATGTGTTGTGTACAAGTCCATGTTTGTGCTCGTATTTACATATATGTGGCTGTGCTGTGGGTGTATTTATGTGGGTGTGTGTAAGTCTGTCTTATAGGCTGTGCGATTTTTGTCTGTGTGCTTTATGTGTGAATGCTTTTGTGAGTTGTACTTACATTTTTGTGTTAACGTTTAGTCTTTTCGCGTGATAATTTTGTGTCTGTGCATTTCTGTTCTAGTTATGTTCAATTTGGTTCACTGCAGCTATGAGGAAGCTGAATATTCGGTAGTAAATCCCAGCTCCAGTGCAGCATGCATAACAGCATGCTAACTTAGATTTGTGTTGTGCATTGAGGCGCTTGAGTTACTAACCATTGTCAATCATGCGCTGTTTTGTAAGAATCATCAGCTGTCGATCCACCTCAAATACACCCACGCCCGGTGTGATCACGACTGTCATCTGACCAGTACGGTCAAAATTACGATTTATGTAGTGCTTGTCAAACACTGTGAAAACAAGTGACACATATGAAACAGTGTGCTCTTAAAATTCACCAGGAATATTTAAAAGGTTATTTTTAAAATGCATGCGGCGCACGTGAAACCAAGCATTTTTGTCAACACAATTAAAAAATGTGAACACTCAACAGTCTGAGAAAAAACTTAAGTGTAAAATACACTCTTTTTCGAGCATTTGAAACTATTGAAATGTCCAACAATGTAAAACTAGGTAAATTAAAATGCACAATTAAACTATACACGAGTGTGCGGAAAGTATTACGTAGGAAACGGAAATGACGGAATAAATACATGTAACATTTGACATCTTTACGAATTTCAGATGATGAAATGCATCTGCAAAACAGAATAATTACCATTGAAAGAGAGGTTGATTGATTCCAAGTAGTTGCCTTGGGCTGCAGTGGAATTGTGGGCCTTTGGAAAACCCTCTAGGAGACAAAAAATACAATAAACTTATTTCAATCACACAAAAGGTTGCATTTTTTAATTGGTTATCATATATATTCTTAGTTCTTTCGGTAAAGTCACGTTGAAGGGAAACAATAAAATAATAAAATATATAAAACAATGGTTATCATATACTCATATAAACAAGATGAAAACCAAGATATATTACTTTAAAAGAAAATGGAACTTTTAATATAACTGCAAAGTGCGCTGGTTTATAATTATGAACTCTGACAAGGCTCTGTTACTATCACGCCACTAAAATCTGTGCAAGGGAAAAAAAGTGGTCCTTGCTGTATGTAATTGGCAAACATCTTCCCAAAATACATGTAAAAGCAATGGCTCCTTTAAACTTAATTCTTCCCAAATCACCCAAATATACAGCATACTGCTTACATTGTCTACATTTATACAAAATATGGTTTGTGTTGCACTACATTAAATATTAATCTTGACCCATAAGCTAAAAAAGTACAAGTTAACTTTATGAGAATCAAATACTATAATTGCCCGATGATGCTGGATGTATTTACCAGCGAAACGTCGTACTCAAACTGTCAATGTTGTGGATTCACTCTTCAACACACCGGTGGGCTAAAGTAGTAGAACTATTTGTCTTTTGTCAACGTGACACTTTTTTTGCTGATTGGCCGTGTCGGGTGGTGGAGGGTTACGACACATTTATAAATAACGCGATCTAACCCAAAAACCTTTATTATGAATCATGTAATAATTAAATAGTAGTTTAACATGTAGGCTTTCGCGACCAATATTATTCATAATAAAGGTTTTTGGGTTAGATCGCGTTTATTTATAAGTGTGTCGTAACCCTCCACCACATATACCGTATGAGTGGTGTTGAACTAGGACAAAAAGTCACACATTTTAATGTTTTTTGTTGCAAACATGCTCTGTGTGGCAAATTGTTTAATATAAGAAATTTTCCCAGCAAACATGAAGGCATTGTGAGCTGCATTTAATTCTGTGCTCCAATGAATTAGAATTTTCCCCAATCTACATAAAAGCAAATTGCAAAGAAATTCTCAACACTTTTAAACGATTCTAGCTACAATTTTAATGTAACAATTTCCAAAAAAAATCGAATTGCCATTTGCTGTCAACTGTGGGTGCCAGCAGGTATGAGGAAAATGCTGGCCAGTGACACAATAATCCAACCACAATGCTTAGCCTCACCAACTTACCAACGGTCTTCAGTCGTACAAGCCTGGGGTATTGAATGAAGATCTTCTTTATGGTGACCAGCAGAGACATCCAATCGTCTCGCCTCTCATTTTGCGCCACCACTCTTAAAATAATCATACATTATCATTGCAGTTGTTAACCAGGCCTTCTTAAAGCAATTAATCTTCAACATTATTCCGTTAAATCTTGATTTGAAGCTTTCGTGACTGCAGGAATCCATACTCTTTGGTTCTTTCGGTAAAGTCACATAGTTAGAAATGAAATCAAATAAAAAAACAAATCACGACGTTTCGATTGCAACACAAGCAATCATCATCAGGTGGGAAAACCACAGCAAGAATTATTTTTTAGTATTAGAGTATTATTCCATGTTTTATTTCCATGAGTTAAATATGTATAAAGGACCTATGGATAAATAACAATGTAAAAATATTTGTAAAATTGCTTATTGAAATGGTGCAAACAATTGTAAAGGTTCTCGCATTGGGTATTTCAAAGCAGTATTTAAGATAATTGTTGGAAGGGGACACAATTATCCTGAGAGATAAGAAAAGATCACATGGATGAGGTAACAAACGTAAATCGAAGAAAGCATGTGGACTGTTCAGGAAAGTGGGCTGCAACATAACACTATGCAAAAGGATTGGATGATGGTTGAAGTACAACACTAAACTAAACTTTTCTTTATTTTACCACATAAGGCCCACTGAGCTATATAGCTCTTTTTCAAAAACGACCTGGCCACAATTGATGGCTCAATAAAGTGGCTTATTATGTGGAAATGTATACATATTTTTTAATGTGGAGGGAAAAACAAGAGGACCTCAAGAAAAATCCATGTGGCCACGGAGAGAACATACTAACTTCAAATATACAGGCATCAGGGTCGGGATAAAACCAACAAACTCCTGTATACCAGGTGAGGTAGTTAACATCTTGCCACTGACAAGACTGATAGTAGAAAGGCTGCCAAAGATGACAAATAATATGAATAAAAAGAGATGATACAATTGAATGGGGATTCATAATAAAGGTTTTTGGGTTAGATCGCGTTATTTATAAATGTGTCGTAACCCTCCACAGCATCATCGGGCAATTCGGCAGAATGATGATGCTGGATGTAATTACCAGCGAAACGTCGTACTCAAACTGTAAATGTTGTGGATTCACTCTTCAACACACCGGTGGGCTAAAGTAGTGAACTATTTGTCTTTTGTCAACGTGACACTTTTTTGCTGATTGGCCGTGTCGGGTGGTGGAGGGTTACGACACATTTATAAATAACGCGATCTAACCCAAACACCTTTATTATGAATAATATTGGTCGCGAAAGCTTTCGTGTTAAATTGAATGGGGATATTGCCATTCATGCGCCCCAGGGATGGTAAAACATGAGAAGGCCTTCATCTAGCAGTGGACACAATGGCTGATCATTATTTTTAACATATACAAATTTCAGCTGTGAGCACAGAATGAATAGAAGCTGTTAATAGAATTGTATGGCAAATGCTTAAACAAGTCAAACAGTATTTAATCTGCACATAACTGAGAAATGAATCTAGCTATTACGAATTCTTTGGGTCTTTCGGTAAAGCCACGTAGATAGAAATTAATAATTAAAAAATACAAATATCACGACTATTCGATCGCAACACAAGCAATCGTCATCAGGTGACAAAATTTAGCGGGAGAGCTGCTTTACCGAAAAACCCAAAGAATATGAATTCCTGCAGTCACGAAAGCTTTAAGTCAAGATCTATTACCAATTGTTTTGTGAACCACTGTCCTGTGTCCATCACTTGCGAATGACCAATTATATAATCGAGTGGAAGCTTGTACAATGTAATTATCCATTCAGCACAATTTATATCTCTCATGCCAGCCTCTAAATCATTATAATTGTTGCCACCAACAAAGACAACAAATACTTGTTTCCCCCCCAGCAATATTAACAGTATAAATACAGGCCTTACCATTCCTTTTTTAATATATTTCATATTGACAGTAACTATTTCATGTTGACAGTAACAAATTTCATTTCTTGAAACAAAAGAGATTTTGAAGAATACCACGCATGCCCACTATACTAGATAAGTATTTCATTTTACGTGAAATAGCAATGTGATTGGCAAAGAATTAAAAGTAATTGGCATTCTGCTAGTGTACAGGTATGAGAATAGGTTTGCCCCTTTTTTCTGGCAACAGGTGTTAAGATATTAGAACACCAAACTGAAATATTTTACAAGGAATCATGTCTGCATTAACCACAATACTTGTAGTCAGAATGCAAACAAAAAAACACTAATATATGCATTGTCTTTGAAACTGATTGGTACACACCAGAGACAGCTTTCTTTGTAGCCTAGTCTCAAAACGCCTTTTGGCGTCCTCTGGTCTAACACCGTTTTGAGACGAGGCTCAAAAGAAAGATGTCTCTGGTGTGAAAAATATCGCATGTATACTTTACACAATTTATAACATTTCAAAGGAGACTTGTAGGTCATAGATAAAAGTGCATTCCATATATTTTATAAATATATCTTTTTAACTGTTGTAAATTTCCACTGCAATTTTCCATGCCATGATCAAGGTGATGAATAGTTAATATCACTTTCTCAATATTGTTTAGGCTGGCAACACTCTTTACACGAAGTAAAAAGTAAAAAACGTGCATCCCCAAAATATGCATGCAAGCACACGCAGCCATACACACTGGCACAAACACACATATATATGCACTTAGACATGCAGGCATATGAACATGTGGAGTAGCACTTACACAAAATGCACATGTGCACATATGAACAAAGATCCCCCGTATAGCCATTAACAGACTGTTAGGGCAAATGTTGGCTAGGTTGCACCTATGAAGGCCAGCATGGTGCATGAGGGGGTGGCTCACCAGCACCCTGCCTGCCCACCTTTGTCTCCCCAGTGGTGATATTTATATATAGATACATCTTTGAAATAAAAATATAATTCAAGCAAATAAGAATGTTGCCGTAATAATATAGGACGCAACATCTCTGAAAAATAAACGTCCTTTTTATCTTAGGTTTTTGGTTTATAATCTATCTTGTTAGTTTTGTGTGTATGTTGAACGTCTTTTACGCTGTATGTAGCCAACCGTGCTAATCAGAGGTGCGGGGGGGGGGACGACAATCTAAACATAACAATCAATGTAGCAAATGACCTTAATCACAAATACACCGTGGCATCAAATATATCTGTGAAACTTTCTTCATTCTCTAAATCATGAAAAAGAATACACTTTACAGTTAACATTTGTTACACTGAATTACATAACAATAAATAAAAAACATTGAACCCCAAACAAATTTAAATATGATCTTCCCTGTTCTTGGATACTGTGATATATTAGGATATATTTAATGCGCCTAGCATATACCAATATCAATCAAATGAAAGACAGTAATTTACATTTGCATTTAATTAACATTTTCGAACTTACTCCATCAAGTATATTTCAATGACAAATACGTGATTTTAAAAAAAAGTTTACCAAATATGGTTTGACAGGTTCACAGCCATATTTGTATTATTTGATTGCATCTGCTACTCTTATGCTTGAAGGTTTAATTGTTAACAGCTTGGTGCACCATTACTTTAGACAAATGGGCAGTGGTCACATTTGGAAAATGAACTATCAACACAGCCATCTCATTATTAAACGAGACATGCAACATAGCCTCGGTCGAACAACTCTGGAAAAGCTGATGCAGACAAACGTATAAACTTACCGATAAAAATCTTCATAGAAACGGCCCCTGAAGTCCTGCTGTATGTGGCAATTGAGTGCCTCCGGAAAGTCATCTAGGTTAAGATGAAAACCCAAGTACCAATCAAGTTGTTAAGTAAAGGAAAGTTATTGTAATGCAGTTTTTTTTATAATTTAACACAAACGGTGGAAAATAATGTGTACCTTTGCTTTTAGCTTCATAATATGTTCTTGAAAAAAGAACCACCGTTACTTCATGACTGCAGTTTTTGTCCTGAAAAATAAACAGCTTTCACCTTCACAATAAATTTGAAACTGCATGTAGCTCAGCTTAATTTAAAAATAAACTGCTTCTTCTGCAAATGTCTACAAACAGAGTAATGGAAAACTAAATTATGGGTGGTTGAGATTAGTTACCTTCCATTTTGTAAACAAATCAGTTAAAAACCCATTCACAGCCTTTTCAAAGTACAGGTCACCTGAAACACAAATAACGATTAATGAAACAACAACAACAACCATTAAGGTGTATGCCAAAGTCTAGACATACGAAATTTGTGAGATAGTGATTTTGAAATCTGTTCTCCATTCCAGTAATATTTTTTTGTAAAAAGAAATCGTGCATTGCAATTGTGTAACTGACCAGATCTTTTGAGTGGAAACCATTTGATAATTCTCTTGTATGTCTATTCATTATGAAGCAGGATATTAATACTAACTGGATATTAAAATGATGAAAAGGGAGCATGAGAAACATGTTTATTACACACTGAAAAGGGTGAAACGGAATGTCTTACCAGAGATGTTGAAGTCCCACATTTCACAACACATCTGGATGAAAATGTAAACCATTGCCGATGTCGAACGAAAAACAACCTGCAAAAAATGTGAACAAATTTTCAACTAATTCAGTCATTCAAATTAAACATTTGTAATTAAAATACCAAGTTGAGATCTTCAAGTAAAATAAAGCAATGTATAAGTAAATATCTACGTTTAACATTACTTGTGATTAATTTACATTTTCCGATATTATTTAAAGTACAAATTGTTTGGTGACGCTGGGTTGGCAGTGGTGCACAAGTACAATTAACAACAAAACTCACACTAATCAACAACACTGCCTTCAAAGAAAAAATACATAATCGGACATGTTTCAGGCAATGACCCTTTGTGGTTTATGTGCTATGAAGGGCCATTTCCAGAAATGTGACTTATTACATCTTTTTTTCTCAAGGTGTGTTGAATTTTGCTGTGTTTAGTAGTCTGAAAAACCTTTTCAGTAATACGAATGTCAATGATTGACAGAAGAAAAGCTTTACTAAATCTGAAAACTTTTTTTCAGTAGGGTCTTTATTGGCATGTTTGGCCAATACCATTCATGTGGGGGGAAACCAGAGAATACAGAGAAAACCCATGGGAATGATGGGGTCACATTCAGCACTGCCATTCCCTGGCCTTCCTGCAGCCCAATGTTTACAAAAACCTGGCAAGTCCTGGTGGTCACACATAACCATTAGTGGACTAAATCCTGCATGGCTTCCAAGATCTGATGAGATCGGCTGAATTAAGGGTAATTTGGTCATGAGTACAAATATTACAAAGAAACGATCATCTGTGCATCAACTGGTCACCTCTTTATAAGTAATCAAATGCTCTCCTCAAAGTTATACTCAAAAATAAATAAAATCCACAAAACAAATCTAATTCATGAAACATTTCCCTGTTCAGAAAAAGTAATTGATGAACAGTGCTGCCTTAGAGCAGCGTTTCCAAAACGTCGTGATTTGATGCTCTATTACATTGCAGAATGGTTTTAAATGAGCCTTGGATTTAAATAAATAAACTAAAGATAGACCACAATAAAAATCTGCTTGGGAAATGGCAACAGAAGAAACTTACAACCTGGAATCATTACTTACTCTGGTATCCTCAGAGATGAACCCACAGGTGACTTTCTCTCCCTTGACCCACAGTTCACTGGCCTGGGCCCTGAAACATGACACACAATAAATATAAAGGTAATGTCTTAGTCAACCAGGCTGTGACATTGAAATGCAACCGAGCAATATCATATGAACTTTAAAAAGATCTGGACAAATTCAACATTGGAATATTATACTATACTTCAAAACAAAAAACTTCCAGACTATGTCCTGAATAATTATAGTTTTAATTAAAACATCATTATCAGCAAATCCATACAACAGTATAATTGCATGCTAATAAACGAAATATATAAGCCACATGTAATTCTCTATAAGAACTTACATACCATCTTAAGAATCAGGTCAAATCACACTTTCAACAGAAAATGTAACACTTACCTAATCCCTGCAAATTCCACCTTCTGTGTGATGTATGCACATGTGCTGACCTTTAAAAACAAAGGCAAAATAATAGTTTAACCAATACGAACATCGAGGTAATGTTTCATAAACTGCATAACATAGTTTATATCTTGACTTAAAGCTTTCGTGACTGCAGTTTAGTTTATGTGTTTTACCAGACTTTTCTTGAGTCTCCACATATCACTGCGGCTGATGTATTGATCCTTAAAGGTAAGCTCCAACAGGTCAAGTGTAACATCCTAAAAACAAGCAATTCAACAATTAAAACTGTGTTGTAAAGGAGAGAAAAAGTCAATGCTGTTCCAAATGAGCTTACTTAGTTTATGTCATACCTATGTTACAAAGAGGCTAAAAGCTAAATTTTTTAATGACATTTTACATCTTGGAATTACTGGCGAAAAGTGTGTTTACGCTCCAACACACCAGTGTGCTGAAGTAGTAACTAATTGGAATGTTTTGTTTACGTGATAAACCTTACTAATTGGATGTCAGGAGGTAGGCGGGTTTGACATTAATATTTACACGATCTAACAAAAACACTATTATGTATTTGACGTCCTATTTAAAAGTTGGGTAAAAGTCCACCCCAAAAACGTCTAATCACCAGTATCTATAACTTGGAATACTCTTGAAAAGTCAAATGTCCATGCCTAGGCAGTGAAACATTGCATACAAACGACAATACTTAGGACTTGATAGTTCAACTTTGCTTGATAACAGTTCGTGGCGAAAAACACACGGAGTAATGAATAATTTTAATTATTTTGGACAGGTCATGTTCCTTAGTTGCCCAATATGCTAACCCCCCCCCCCCAATTGATTATCCTATTCCTAGATGGAAATGTGTTATCGTCAGTTATATACACACATGCAATGCAGTCGTTTCTTTAAACACAGTGGTTTTCTTGGCAATAATGTTTGATTAAAAAAACTAGCATTTTTTTTTTGTAAAACACCATTCACAGCATTTTTATTTGTATAAGATGCGATTCAAGCTGCAATATTCAAATTATGCAGCTACCTTTTAACCACAAGCTGTCAAATGTGTCTTGAAAAACAACAGATATAAAGTAACGTTGCAAATTTTCAACTGAGAGAAAATGCGATTTGAAAAAATATTACTTACACTGGGTTCAACAACATTGACAAAAACATCCTGGTAGGCACGTAGTTTAAATACACCTGCAACTGACTGGTCCACGCTGACAGTCTCTAAAAAGCACACACATATCGTATGTTCATTAAAATAATTGTCTTACAATACGTACTATACATATGTACATTTAAAAGAATATCCATGCAATGTTAAAGTGTTCAGCATTGTAAACGCCAATGGAGTGCACGGTATGGGTGTGCACTTCTGTACAAACCTTTTTGTAGGTCTTCCTTTAACGATTTTACTTGGAGTAATAATGGGCTTCAAAAAAAAATATATGAACAGGGAATTATTAGGAACGCACAAAATTTACAACATGAGTACAACAAAAACTGTTAACAAATCTAAGCCATATATTGGCTTTACAGAAAGACCCAAATAATATGAATTCCTGCAGTCACGAAAGCTGTAAGTCAATATTTAATTCTGAGTACATTTGGTGATTGAGGGGCTCAGGGATTAAAGGAGTGCAATAGTCTGAAGTTTTAGCTACCCGTGGCACTCAAGCATAGAAAGTCAATAATCTGTCTGGTCGGCAAAGACTGCACAAAAAAACGATCAAACAAAATGTGTGCTTCACTCATTATGATTAATTTCTGGTCAGAGACTTACAAAAATCAGTTTGATCCCACATTAAATATTCAGGGCATTAAAAGAGATCCGCCCCTCGTGTTAAACGACGTCACAGAAGTACTGTGATGTTATCTTTTGGCAAAGTGCAATTCACTAATAAGTCCGATTTATCACGGCGACAAAATCCGTACTGCAAGTTGCGAACAAAAGTCCCATGCACTACCAGCTGCAGTTCCGAATTTTAATGCTTTTATTTCATGGAAAAATGCCAACAGAATTAGAATTTAGATATACAAAAAAGGTAATTAAATGTAACACAATGTACACGAAATTAATAGTCCCAGACAATGTCAGTGATTGTCACTGTGAACAATGATTACGTGTTCAAAAGATCCTTACACTTTCAATTATAATTTTGTCAATAATTAGGAAGAGCGATTTTGCAAAATGGCTCAAAACAATGCACCAGCACAAGTAAAGCTACTTTTGACAAGTAAACTATTACCGGTATATTCCAGTCCTTTATCCATCCACTAACAGGTAAAGTCCTCGCCACGCCGTTATGGTTATGGGGGTTTTTGTAGCATACTTCAGCATGCTGATCAGCGTGGGTTGAAGGATGGGGATCCACAAACCGGTTCAGATATCACTCGCCAGTAATTTTTGATTCGGTCAGGAATCAAACTCAGGTTGTCAGGTTTGCAGTGCAGTGCTCCAACCACTGTGGCATCGCTTTATCCCGATTAAAATTATCCTGCACAAATTCTTGAAACTGCATTTTTTAAGACAGCTAAAGATACTGTTATACATTACCATATAAATTCAAATAAAATATCACTCAATGCGTTATATCTATGGTACCTGGTGTAGGCCAATCAGTTTCAAGGACAATGCATATATTATCAGAGCATTTTTTTCATGTTTTGCCACGTGTGGTTTATTCAGACTTTATGGCTTGCAAAAGGTGGTGTTTGAACATCTTAACACCTGTTTCATTGCCAGAAAGGGCAAAACCTAGTCTTATTTTTGATCATCAATGCTTTATATTGGCTAAAGTTAAACTGTGCATTTGACAATAACGAATGGGTTAAGAAAGGCTATTGTTTACATTCCATTCTCACCTGTACTCATCATCTGGGTGAGCAATTTCCAAAATATCGCCAATCTTAACATTTGGAAATACTTTTGGGTTCACTACCACCTCTTCGTCTAGTAAAAGAGAAATACAGGCGTTAATCAGTGAATAATCATCACACGTTTAATCCACTGCTCGCGTAGCCGCTATATCTTTGACAGATAACAAATATGTAAGGCATGTGTTGAGATTAATTTTGTTGAAAAAATACACTGCTTACCACTTTCGTGAAAACCCTTTTTATGAACCCAAAGCTTGTAGAGTTTTCCGGTTTTCATCTCGACAGCACGTCTAAAATGTCATGTTTAACAAGGGAGAGCCATAAGTTACAGAGCATGTCATTACCACGTCTATTTTTACTGCTGGATGAAGGTAGACATGGACGAGATCATTTAAAACCTCAACTTTGACCAGTGTGGGGATGCATGACTCGAGCTACATTAAGAGTCAGGAGGAAAACGTGTATTGTATAAGATAGTAGTAAACAAATGACATTCAAACCCACCCTAAACTCTCCAATTAGAAAGGTTGGTTACGTACGGTGCGAAAGTACAACATACTTGCACAAACCATGTGTACGATACCGAATCGTACGTATGAATCGGTTCATATTCTGCATACGCACGATACGGCCACGATACAATGAGATTGTGCCACCAAAACAAAGGACGATCCTTGGAGGAAATAGCATCGATCCTTGCATAAAATCGCGACTGGGAATCGTGATAACTGGCTGTGCTGATCTGGAAGGGGAGTACAATTATGCTCTTAAGGCCTCGTTATTCCTATACAGTATATAATCATAGGCGTTGTTTTGTTTTACTTTACAGGTTAATTGTAGCAGCAGCAGACTTGAACAGTCCACAACATACGCCAGCATTTAAGCGTGTTTGTACCCCTCCCCCCGCCGCTTTATACACGTTCATCACCATCATTATCACCACAACAAAACAAAGTATTACGAGGAAGGCTTTGTTTCACTCCGTCATTCACTGTAAGAGGCGCCCAGCACGGGCAGAGCGGGGATGGTACCGACGTGGCCGACCCAGTGCCCCGGACTGGAAGCCCGGTTTGGCGGGCAAGCTCGCTAGGCAAAACCGAAGGATGCCCGAGGAGTCATAGGCCGCAAAAGTCCGCTCTCGCGAAAAATACAAATTAAAAACCTTTCAGGAAATCTCCGTCGATGTGACAATAACCGTCGAGCCGCTTATTCCCAACTCTGTCGCGTTACGTGCGACGCAGTGCCGAGCAACTTTTATTTACCCCCTTTCCCCTCCCCTCATATTGCACCACTCTCGCGAGACGCCGGCCGTACGGAGCGCCGAAAAAAAAAACCACACGAACGTCCCCGCATTTGGTTGAGCAAGCAGCGCCGTGACGTGAGGCCTCTACGTCACGCCCAGTGACGTGCCACGCGACCTCGGCCAATAGGAATCGTCTGTAAAGCACGTGGCGGGAATTTCAAACGATCGTTTGCGTCAACATTCGCAGCTGGTAAATGGCCACGTGGCCCAAGAGGGCCCGCTGTGAGCCCGCTGTATGCACTTGCCCGTTTCATTAACCCGGTGTGCGGTTGGCAGAAAAAAAGCAATGCAGCAAAGTTAATGGTACGTACGGTACTTCCGTTTACGTGGCAACCCTTACTAATTGACTGACTCGAGTGGTGGCGGGTTTAACGACACATTTATATTTACGCGATGTAACCCAACAAAAAACCCCCCCTATATTATACTTCTGTGCTGCTCGCCTTCACCAACCCGAATTGACCAGCGTGGCGAAGTTATGGTCAAGTAATCACCACGAGACTCTTATCCCGCAGTGGGTTGACATGTTCACATGACATTGACTTTTCCAAGACAGAGGTTCTTTGTAAGCCATCTGGCTACCATGAGAGATTCGTTCATGATGCTATCGACATATACAAGCACAGAGACAATTTCAACCGAGAAGATGGATTCTGGCTTAGCAATCATTGGAAAGATTTGAGAAACCATTTCAGGTCTTAATTGATTGTTCATGCTTACAGTGGCTTTCAGACAGCATACATTAATTTTTCGTCTCCCCCCTCCTCTTTTCAGAACATAGATGGACTCGTCCTTCTAAATAAACTGCCAAATCGCTGCACGTGGCGCTGACGGGTTTTTTTTTTATAAATAAATACACCGTTTTAAAATAAATAAATTTATGCAAACCGACACACCTGATGACGACCGTTTGTGTTATGGTCGAAACGTCGTGAGAATTTTTATTCTTTTATATATATTTCATTATTTTATTGTTTCCCTTCAACGTGACTTTACCGAAAGAGCTAAGAATATGTTAGCCTAGGCAGAGCCATAACGACCTTTCGCCTGAATCCCATGTAAGTGATCTGTGCTGGCAACTTGCTGCTCGTCACAATAACCTCGTGCGCCACTGCCAATTTCTATTTACTGGCATAACTTTGGATAGATACAAAGCGCACATTGGCTTACCGACGTCCTAGCACAGGGAGTGAAACGCTGGAAATCATGCCGAACAACGCGTGGTACAATATCGCAGTTAGTTACTTGGTTTATTTTTATTTCTGTAATCAAGTTTCGATGGTGTAACCAGGTCCCCATCGACAATTAGCATTTATTGCTATTGGTTTTTACCTGTGCCAAAATAACATTTGGGATGAGGGACTAAAGGATAAAAAAAATATATGGACTGAAGCACTGTATCAATATCTGATGCGAAAATAAGACAGAAAATAGTTGAGACGTGGCAAGGTAATAATGGTCTTGGTGTTGACGCTAGTGACAAGCGTGAAGTAAAGCATAAAGTACATGCTGTACTCTTCTTGGTTCTTTCGGTAAAGTGACGTAGAAGGGAAATAATAAAATAATTAAAATAAAACATAACAAAATAAAATTATCACGACGTTTCGGCCACAACACAAGCAGCCGTCTTCAGGTGAAGAAACAGAACTGTCGGGAAGTCATGGGAACGCTGTCTTCCCGACAGTTCTGTTTCTTCAACTGAAGACGGCTGCTTGTGTTGTGGCCGAAACGTCGTGATAATTTTATTTTATGTTCTATTTGTATTATTTTATTATTTCCCTTCTACGTGACTTTACCGAAAAAACCAAGAAGATGAATCCATGCAGTCACGAAAGCTTTAAATCAAAATGTACATGCTGTCCTGTTAAGACCTTGGTGTTGAAAAGGACAACTCATGACTCGCAGTGCGGGCTCAAGATACCTTTTATTTTCGTTTCATCGCTCGCACACCCTGCCTCACCAAGCTATTTCGAGATGGTGTTCATGTTGCTCTATGTTAAGACCATGGTACTAATCGGGGCAGGGAAAATTGTGAATTAGTCGTACATAATCAATTCTGGTTCCATAACTCTGGCTTCATCTCAACGAGTTCTTACAGAAAGAAAACTTGTAGTTCTCTGATGAGTTTTCAGGTTGTACCGCGTGATGATCGACAAAGTCCTACGTTTCTATCCACGTGCTGGGAGTTTATACAGGAAGTGACATATGGAGTCAAACGGCAGACATGCTGAATAATCTGTGGTACAACCTGAAAACATTGGAGTGCTTCACAGGGTAACCGCAAAAACCTACACAACTTTGGTAGTCTTACGGAGTGACTCAACCCTGCAAAAATAATGCTTAATTTCAATCTCTTACTCAGGGCCATGAACATAAAAGCACAGCCACACACTCATTTGACTTACTGATTACAGTTAATGAACATTCAGTTCTGTTTGCTGTGTTTATTTTCGAGCACACCATTTCCAGCCGTGTTACTTATACTCACCCAAATTGGGAATGAAGAGGTTATGCGTGTGGTATTTTTATTTGTCTGTTTAGCTTACTAGAACTGTAGTTCACCACCTAGCCAGTGAACTGGAGCACGTACACCAAGCCCTCAAGATGAATGGATATTCAGACTACACAATCCGTAAAGCTATCACCCCAACCGTTGGGAAAGAACCATCTGAGGCTCAGCTCTCCAATCTTACACTTACATGCAAATTTCATCTTTAGCCCCGCCCATTTACCCTTAGGCTACATCCATCTCAAACCTTTATAGCATCCTGTCTTAGCAGCTCTCCCGCCATATATTTTTCCTGCCTCAGCAGCTCTCCCGCTATATTTTTTCACCTGATGACGATTGCTTGTGTTGCGATCGAAACGTCGTGATATTGTTATTATTTGTATTATTTTTTTATTTCTATGTGGCTTTACCGAAAGACCCAAAGAATATTTATCCCTGCAGTCACGAAAGCTTTAAGTCAAGATAGAACTGTAGTTATTTACAAGCTAGTTTTTTTTAATACACTCTATTTGCAATTTTATAACTTGCATAACATCCAAGCTGCATTCATGAAGAAAACTTTCCAGGTTCTCTGGAATTACAGAAACAACTTCCTTCCACCAGATGATGGAGAAAATACATATACGTAATTGCTGTTCATGGAATATGTGCGATGCAGATTGTGAGAGTATATTGTATCTATATTCATGGCATATTGTAAAAATCAAGTAGGGTTCGGTAGGACACGTAACGAGAAAGAACGATTCCATATTGATGATAAAAATTAAGTTTACAGCCATAGAAAGGAACACGTCCAAGAATACGTCTACCAAGGTGATGGAGCTAGGTGGATTGTTGCAATACGGGATCATGAGAAATAGTGACAGTTTGGGGAAGCCTTCATTCAGCAGTGGATTGATTATTGTTGATTTTGATTGCAGGAGAAAAAGAACACGCGTTGTTTTGTTTGAAAGTAATTTCTACATGTATAATGTTAGAGTAGAATGAAACTCTGTATTATTTTTTCACTCTTTACCTGTAACCTGATATCATTGTATTATCTGCACAAATAGTCCTGCTTATCTATGAAAATAATACAATCACATGATGTCAGTGCTTTGAGGAGACCATTTGCAGATGACATAAAGATATGCAGTCTGTGCGGCATGAGGTGCGATGGAATGCTGGCCGCCAACTGTGGAATCAGCCCCTCGTAAATTTCAAATTGTGGAATGGGACTGAGTTTCAACAAAAACAGCTGTCATTCCATGAAAACAAAGTGGAATAACAACTCAAATTCTACTTGGATTGAGCCCAAATACTCTTTCATATGTCTATGTTGTGAATTGGTATATGCATTTCTGTGATTGCTGTACTCTACTCTATCCATAAGGTGACATATTCCATATGTAGAAAAAATTGTTCATTTGTTTTGAGTTCCCTTTAATTACTTGTAACAATTATTAGTCTTCATATATATAAATAACTGTACTCTTATTAGTGTACTAAAGTAATTGCATGATGAATGTAATATATTTCGATTTAAAGCTTTCGTGACTGCAATGATTCATCTTCATTGGTTCTTTCGGTAAAGTCACGTAGAATGAGAATAAAATAATAAATTGATAAAATAAAATAACACAATAATATTCTCACGACGTTTCGGCCACAACACAAGCGGCCTTCATCAGGTGAAGGGACGAGACTGTCTGGTAGGACAGCGCTGGAGTGAAAGAGCCACGTTCAGATCACGGCTTTTAAGCTGTGTGAGAGGAACAAAGCGCCTTGACAAAGTAATTAGCATATAATTTAGCATTGAAATGGCTGAATGATTAGCTTGTGACTGGTCACAGAAATAGTTATGTTAAAAGTTAAAGCATACACATCCGCAGAGGCACCCCTTGACAATGGAATTAGCATAGAATTTAGCATTGAAATAGCTAAGTTAAAGCATACACATCCGCAGAGGCACCCCTTGACAATGGAATTAGCATAGAATTTAGCATTGAAATAGCTGAGTGATTAGCTTGTAACTGCTCACAGAAATAGCTACGTTAAAGTCAGACCATACACATTCACCGAGGCACTTAGTACAAATCAAACAGGAGATTTTAGCATTGAAATAACTAGGCGAATTTAGCATTGAAATAACTGAGTGATTAGCTAGTGACTGGTCACAGAAATGACTATGTTGAAGTCAAGGCCTACACATCTGAGCTATTCACAGTACTATATAGTGAACCAATAAAAACTAAAATATAAATTACCTTAATGTTATCAATAAACTCTATATTCTCCAATCAGCTAAGCTACCAACAATAAGTCGTTATATATCACAATGCTATATGGCGAAAAAATGGGTGGA